TGAATGAAAACGTAAAAATGACAGGGGGCACAAGAGGAGGAAAAATACTCTTGCATGGTGTTTAAATCTTAATGGCGAGGCGTGAATGATCGATTATCGATGTTTTCCCATTTGAAGTTGTGGTAAAGAATGGATTATTGAGGTGTTCTTTCCGAACACCCTGTTTATCGATTCTTTTCCATAGGTTTAAATGGCAGATCAATCGATACATCGCAAAGAACGCCAAGCCACCGTTAAATTTAATCAAAGATATTTTTCCATAATGGATTATTTTTAAATTCTCATTTATTTATTTACTTTTTTCAATAGAAAGATTCATACAAAACTTAAAGGAGCTGAACCTAAACTGGTTGAGGAACACAAGGCGAAGGAATTGGGAGGGTGGAATGAGAGAAGAAAGTACAGGACGGAAACGTGATATTCATTGCAAGGGAAATGCACAGAAGAGAGTTATAACTTGCTCATTAAATGGGATGCTATGCAGCTCTTCTCTCAGATAGAAAAAAAAAATGATTGACTTACTGCCGACTACAAAAATTTGTGTGAGGTACAAAAAAAAACGAAAAAAAAAATTGAAAAAGATGTCTGTTTTAAAACCAAAACATTGATTTTTTAGCTTGACAATTTCAAAATGTTGAAGAAATATAGCTGGTCTCATCAGGATCATGGTTATTTTTTTTAAAGAAAAGGTTTACTCCTCATTGGAGGTTGCTGTGTGTACTTAGAGAGTGTGAAATTCCCTACTTTTTCCTCAGCACAGCATTGCAAATCTAAAAATGGTTTTAGTTTCTAATAAAACTTAGATAAATCCAAACTCTGTTGAATTTTGAACAAATGGAATGAACATCAATAATATACAATCCAGTTTTTCAGGACTAGAGATAGTTTTTTTTGAGCTTTTGAGCATCCAAACTGAGTTGATGCATTTTTTTCATATTTATCAATTTTTTTCTTTTTTTTACTAAAACTCATTTAAATTTTTTAGGAGTGGATTAATTGACACTCCAATTTCCATAGGTATCAATTTATAAATTCTGAATCATGAAAAGTAGACTATCCTAAGAAAGGTACAAAAAATATTTTTTTTTTTTTAAACAACAAAAAAAGATTAAAATTCAAATAAAAAATAAAAGTTTCTAAAAAATATAGGCTAAAGTTCAACTAAAAACAACTACTACAGAACATGCAAGACTGAGCAATGTAAGAGAGTCATTATTCTACTCTATTTTCGCGTAAATTCTTTTTTTCTTTCTACACTTGAAATTGGTAACATCCAAAACTGTCTGATTCATAATCGACTGAGGAAATTCAGAACGCACAAATAGCTAAAAAAGAAATAAACACTTCGTAACCCAAGAACAATATGGTAGAGGGTACGATACCAAAATGAAAGCACTCTTGGAGGAGACATTCCCTAACACTTATCGTGGATTTGTCACATTTTTTGCGCACAAATTTACGCCCCCAAAAAGAAATCTGCAAGTAGATACCAACGAAAACTATCAGCATGACTTGTACAATAAGATGAAAAATAAAGCTAAAATCCAGGAAATAAAAGCCGGAATGTTTCAGCTGATTGTGCAGCCATTATAAAGTGAACGAGCTTTGTTTACAACTTGCATTATCAGAAATTCTTTTTCTGGCCTTGCAGATCTCGGTTGATTTTTTTAAGTTTGTTTTATTTTCGGTTGATTGAAGTTGACCGGAAGGTTTGCGGTTCTTTTCACCTTGATAAAGCTTTTGTTTCCCACACTTTAGTAATTTCTCCATCTTATTAAGTAGATACCATAACTATATAATGAGTTTAATCATCTGATAGGTAATTTCTTTCTTTTTTTAAAACTTAATTTATTACTATAAGATTGCACTTTGATGCATCGACCTTAATCTCTGTAATATTAAGAGTTAATTCCTCTCAAAACACATGAAAATGGAAGGACCTGTAAAGAGAAAAGCTTCTAATCAAAGTATAAATAAAACTTTTATGTGATCAACAGATATCTAAAAATATCGAAATAAAACAAACATAACACAGAGAGGAGAATGGTAAAATGGATTATCGATACAAACTTTAATATTATTATCACAAGAGTTGCGATTATGAGACAAAAGTATAATGTAAACCTTATTAATACCTATCAATAGTCCTATGATTATCGACTATTTCCCTGTAAAATGAAATCGGCAAAATATGATGCTAGACAGAGAGTAAAAAAAGAACCTAAAACAAAAATCTTTGGGTTTGAATCTTGTCTCTTTCCTATCAAATGTTGTTCCAACTTGCAAAAGGAAGCAAAAAAGGAAGTACAGTCGAACCTCCTGTATTTGGTACTTTAGTTATCAGGGGACATCCTGAGGTCATTTTGATCATTTTTTCGATCCTAAAGTCCATTACTACGGTTTGTTTCATTATTTCTAATGTTCCAGGGATTTTCAACTGTACAAAGGTTTTCATTATCAGGCACGAGTCTGCTTCTTTACGGATGGCAGCAGGTCATCCGTAGAGGTATAATTCATTTCTTCAAGATTGAAAGTCTTCTGACAAAGTGAGGCTCTATTACTGACTCAGTCGATAGACCAGGAAGACAAACTACATACTTGGAGCGTTTACTGACCTTTCACTAAACGTGCTTTTTGACTGTAGAATGCACTGTGAACGAATTGCTTTCGTATCAACACAGCAAAAAAATGGACTTCTAATCAATGATCACTTAATTTGTGAATTTTCTTTCAGGTTTACTTAAATAACGATGTCATGGTGAAAATGGCTCCTTTCGTTTCAATTTAATGTAAGTAAAAAATGTTGAATTGTTAACTGACAGCATCAGGAACTGGGGAAATTAAAACTTCTGCTTAAGTTAAACTGGTAGTATGGTTATTAATCATTTAACAAAAAAATATTTGTTATATAAACAAAACCCATTTTAACAGGAATTCTGCTTCTAATGCTTTCAAAATAGCTTTAAAGGAGTTTTTTACCTTGTTAAGAAGAAAAGAATTCAAATGAGATTCTGAAAAAATCCAGATTCTGTAAATCTTGAACAAAAAGAATTAACGCTTGACATTTAAAACTGTTCTAACCTACAGAGTGTCTATGGAACGTTTACAATATCTCATGGACATTGCAAGGGCAGGTTTTGAAAACCATATGCAAGTGGAGAATTAGGAAAACAAAATTTGTAGGCAACTATAAATGAGCTATACATGAAATTAAAGCAAATACATATGTACACATGAACAAAAATCAAGCATACATGAGATCTACTAATTACAGTAATTTCATGATGTGAATCCCTGGTTCTAAAATTAAAAGGCAAAAAATGATATTATCAAAGATCAATGGTAACTCCAACAGTCCAAAATTTGATCACTCAATAAAATAATATCAGTAACAAAAGTTCAACCATAACAATGAACTATAACCCAACAATCTTGAAAACATCCACTCGGTGAGAGATAGATGTTTCACGCACCAATCAGCCAACAGATGTCAATCTTTTAGAGTCCTTGCCAATCAAGTTTACGCGCTTTAAAATTACAACAGAAGATCTGCCATCTTGATTCTTACAGTTACTTCCAATGCTAAACTGACAGCATTTGATCATCTATTTCAGTTTAAAAGTGTAAATTTATTTGGCATGAAGTCTAATGATAAACAAATCAATAACTTTTTAACATTTTAATAGAATTTTGAAACTTAAAAATAAATTTGACCGAAGGCCAATTTACAAAGGGGAAATATTGAAGACTAGATCACATTGTTACTAGACAAAAAGAAGAAAAAAAAACAGTATTTATTTCCTATGTATCTCATCAGGTTAACAAAAAGTCTGCATAATTTTGTAAGATCCAAAAATAAAATGTTCAAGTTCGTTCACGGACAAATATTTGAAACTCAATCAATAGATCTCATAAATGCAGTAAATTAAAACTTACGCTACGACTTTGAATTATGTACAAAAATTGTTCTATCAAGAAATTACATACTTCATAATGCAAATGAAAGAATTGTAAAAAAGAAATACTTGTACCAAAGAGCAAAAGCTTCAATCCTCAATCTTAGTTAGGAAATAGGAAACAAAGGCTTCGCTTTCAAAGATATAAAATGCACAGTAACTGCAAATGCTAGTCCTAAAATCAACTGGTATTAAAGATGTTTACTAGAGGGTTGTGTTCTGAGTCATATAGTACAAAGACGATGAACCTACAGTGATTTCTGAACAAGAAAAGAACATAGATTTCATGTGAATAATGGCTTTTAAAGGGTAGGTAGTTAGGTACAGCATCTTCGTTTCAGCCCTACTTGCTCTTCCATTCTTGCACCACCCTGCAATTCAAACTTTGTCTTATAAAATTTGGAACTTAAAATGATGTGGTCCAACTTTTCAACATCCAGCCACACTGTTGTCTACACCTAAAGTTGAGTTTCACCTAAGGAGAGCAAAATGACAAAAATACCCAGCTAAAAAGTTTTTGCAGGAATACATGCAAAAATTTGCTTGGTGCTATTGAACTCTCCTTCAGTACTAGTTACTAAGGAATTGAGCTAAACATGGTTACCTGCGTCTTAAATCAATCAAAGAATAATTGATCTTTTGCTAATCAGACTAAAATTATTCAAATCCCAAAAATGCTTGAAGCTCGTCAGAAGCCTTTGAATACTCCCTTAAGATGAGGGCTTTGAAGCGTTTCCTTCACTTTATATTTCTCTTAGTGAATTGACAATTTTACCTCAAAGGGAATTTTGTTCTTTTTTCACAATTCAAATAAATAAAGAATCAAAAGAGAAAGTAAACATGAGAGATTGAAAAAATTTCAAAAACAGACTGTAAACTGGACTGCATTTTGCAATTTGGAACTATAGATTCTGGCCCGGCATTAAAACAACGTATGTGCCATTAGTTTCCCTATGCGCATAAATGTTTTTCCAGAAGAGCCAGAATTTATAGTTCCAAATTGCAAAACGCAGTCCAACTGGATGTACAGTGGGAGAACAAGCCTCATTTTTCTCGATCCTTATGACTATAGACCACATTAGCAACCATGGCCTATTACTTAAATAGGCCTCCTTCATAGAAAAAATAGTCGATATAGTACGTAACTTGTAATGACTGATTGAATTTTTAACGAAGGAAAATTTTGAGTACTGTGATACAAATTTCACAAACAGGTTGATACTTTTAAATATTTTTGTATGAATAGATGACATGTGAACTTTTCCGATCAAGCATTAAAGTCATGTCTTCAGCGTGTTTCTCTAAACCCAATATCGTGGCCCACAGATCCCAAAAGAGGCATAACTTTTCACCTCTCAAGCCCGTGTCCCACGATCAAATGAACTCATCGAATGCAAGATGGTGGAAATGCGTACTGGTTTTTGCACAAGTCCGCGCGGGCTCTATTCATCAACGTTTGACGGCCCGCCAACTTTTGATTGCGCAGAAACCAATACGCATCTCCGCCATCTTGTACTTGATGAGCTCATTTGATCGTGGGCTTAAGACTATCTGATTCTTCAAACTGAGGCTTGTTTATCCCAATATACATCACAAAAACGGGTGAACAAAACAACAAATGGAAAAGAAATGGGACTCTGATTTACGCTGAGGCTCACTGAGGAGATGACGAGACGTTCCCCCTCATGAGCCAATAAATATGAACGGAAATCACAGCTAAAGCCTGAATGATGATGAGGGTACATCAATTATAATACTGACAACATTAAAGTTGTTTAAGGATTACTCTGAGTAAACAATGAATTAGGTACTTCTCAAAAGTCAAGACATCTGTAAACAAACGAAATTGCTTGTCACTACTGAAAATAGCAGAGAACAAAAATTATAAGGCTCATCTGATAGCAAAAACCTGAATTTTAAACCTTGGTAAAAGAGGGCTTCTAATTTACATGCTACCGCAATTTAATTTTAAACTGTAGAGGTCTATCTTGCCTTTGCTGAAGGAGGATATCAAGATCTTAAAATGAAAGTCTACCTTCGTGAAAGCAGTATTTAGACTGTTCTTATTCAAAAACTTTCAAGAGCATGAATTAGAGCCACACTCACTGGTTTACACTGTGATTAATGGTGGTTTAAGGAGATTCATAACAAAGCCTCATACTAGAGAAAATTATTGCAAACCTTCAGTAAATTTCAGTAGTAAAACTCTGGAAATAGATTCTTACAAGGTACTACTATGATTTGCTGCTACACAAAATAAAAATACATACAAAAGAAAACATACTGCCAGTTTTGAAAATTTTAAGGAGGGTTTGCACCTACCTTAAAGTTTGTCAAAATCAAAGAATTTTCATTTTTTACCTTGTACTTTTTGCGATGGAAAATCATCGCAATCCCTTGTAAAGATCCATTTCAGAGTTATTCTATGAACTTTGATCGAGTATTGCAAAAATTGTCCTCCGTATAATGCTATGTTTAACGCGTCCTTAAACCACCCTTAATCACTATGTAAACCATGTTGGGACTCCTAAGGGAAGGATCTGTTTAAGAAATTACTGTGAATGCGTACCTTAGAAGCATATTAAATCAATACAATACAAAATTAATATAGAATGGATGAACACTTCTGAAATCAAAACATCTGACTGATTTCCAAGAATAGGCAACTGATTTTAGTTAAGTAACTTAAAAGTTTTTAAATATGATAGGTCAAAACTTGCCAGTAGGTAGGTATTACACTTGATGAGGAGTTATAAGAATCAGGAGATCATTTCTGAAGGCAAGGCTTTCATTACGTTGAAATTAGAAATTAAAAGTAAGTACATTTGCGAAGTCAAGAAAGTAACGCATGCTCACAGAGGCGGGGAATCGAGATTTTGAACCTAGGCTTGCAAATGAATAACTACAAAGGTTACAATTCAAAAGTCTTAAAATTAGAAATGTTGGCGGTAAACAAGACAGTTCACCATACAAGAACCAAGAAACAAGATTAAAAAACAGGGTCAACAATAAAAAACAGTCCAGTGTTGAAGTGGAGCTTCACGAGTAGATTGTGATGACTTCTCTTCCGCCTCCCCGTACCATGAGGACTCGTTCTAGGCCCTCTGTTAGAACCTCTAAGAATTCCATATCTGCAATAACGATGAATTAAGGAACACACCAGCTGCCAAAACATGGCAATGTAATTAAAAATGTTAAAAACCTTTCTATGATTACCCAAGTAACATTTGTCAACAGAAAAATCGGGATATATTGCAATTTAATCGGCGATGAAATCGCTGGGATCATCAACATCTGAGCAATTATCCTCGATCTAATCGGGATAAAATCGCAATTTTATCGCCCGATAATTTATCGCAATATTTTCGAAATAAAAATCGCAATAAATGGCAATTTAATCTTGATTTCATCAACGAAAGTTGATCGCAATTTGCAACGTGTAGCGATTTAATAGCCATATATTGCAATTTTTAATGCAATAATATCTCGATATATTGCCACCGATATAATCGCAATAGCCAACCTATGAAATCGCTATTTATCGCGATCACTGCTACTCGGATACTTGCACCATACACAAAGGATCCTTTAAACATTGTTTGTTTTTTGGCCAACATGTGCTAGGATTCAGTTTAAAATAAAATTTTTGGACCCATCATCAGTGTAGCGCAGCTTTCTGAATTTCTGCCTCCAAGTTCAAAGAGGTGATGAACACCAGTCAAGAGTTTGAGCATAAAGGGATGAGGATTAGAATTTCAGTTTGTAACTTAATTGTAGCGCATGTTGGCCAAAAAACTTGCGGTGTCTAGACAACTCGTAGGCACAAACCTGCTTGTGACAACAAGGGAACTGTTTCAGAGGAATTAATATTGAATTCAGTGAAAATGGCTTTAAGAATCAAGTATCCTTGGAAACAGCGTAAGACTTGTGTCTTAACAGAGCATGCTCCTGACTTCATCACTGATATGATCAGTCGTAGTAACTCTAAAACATGGTATCAAGAATGGTGCAATAGCATAAACCTTGATATCAATTTGTACTTTAAATGTCTGCAAAATTTGAAAACTAAATGGTTTCTAGGCAATAGGAGAAGAGATTTTCGGTTTCTGGAACAAATTCCTTGATTTTGCTTTGAAATTGTTCTTTCCCGGATCAATCCTGAATTTTCTCGGTTGTTCCTGATCCTAGACACCGTGCTCTGAAGATTTCATTTTTAACTTGTTCGAATTCTACCAGCAGAGGTTATATCATGAAGATATTCATAAGTCCTATGATTATTCATTTCATTCATAAGAGAATTTAAAACTTCACAATGTTTCCTCTATTTAGACAATTTTCAGGAAATCCACCTTATATTGATCGTTTTGATAAAAAGGATACAATTGGATTCTCGTTCGGGTTTAGTGGTGCGGGGTGGACCCGGGAGATTGATTATTACTAGCTGAGCATCATGCGATTTGTTCACGATTACTTCATTTAGTTTGATGGCTGTGTGCATTCTCCTGACATTGCCCTCGTCACTGTAAAAAAAAAGAAGTAAAATGATTATTCTGGTACGTACATAAATCAATAATTAATATCTTTGATAAAATTAATGTACCCTTAATGACTTGAGTATTTTCTCAAGCTTGGATAAATAAACTAAATAAAATATTCACGATACTAAAACTAAACTACGGAAATAAAATGTCATTGGTTCAAAAACGCACTTTAAAATCGAATGATTACTTTGGAAATTATTGAATTTTACTTTGCTGGCGTATGTATTCAAGTTCCCTCAGAGCCAACGATAGTATTTTAAAAACCACAATTTTTACAATATTTTCAGAAATTTTCGCCCCCTTTAATAATATTCTGGTGACTGATGCTAACTCTTACTATCCATCAAAAAGTTCTGTACTGCTTCCTTCTGAAAATGCTATACCAGAACTGCTTAAGCACTTTTAAGCATTGATAGCGGGCTTAGCAGCTTTGTAGGAGCACATTTTCAAGCGATCTGCAGCCAGACCTGTAGTCCTGTCACAGTATCTCAGTAACCACAAGCGTTGGCTTACTTGCAATATACTCTCCAAAAGAGCAGTTAAAAGTGCTTGAGACGGCTAATATCATTGAGAAGGGTTCCAATTTTCATACCTAAATGAGCCACAAACATTTTGAATGTTAACTTACGGAATTACGTGAACTTACGGAGTTATAGATGATGGTTTGCCATTGGCATTAGAGCTAAGATTAGATGAGGCAGTCTTCGGTGGGGACATGGGCGGTGTTTTGATTGCAGTCTTTGAAGTGGTGTTGACATCAGAAGCTCCTTTTTCAGCTTCTTCTGTGGTCTGTAAAATTTTCGAGCATAAAAGTAACAAAAATTTCGATTGACAGAAGGTAAACTTAAAGAGGACTCGAAGGCTCTAAGAGGGGTGTTATGTTATTAAAGCTGCTACTAAAGCTATTACTTGGTATACACACTATTGTTGCATAAGTGTGTAAATAAGGTTCTACGCCTGTTAGTAAGCCTGTGTTTGGAGCATTTCAAAATTTTCTTTCATTTCCCACACATGCAATGTAACAATGCGTTTACAATGAGACAGAGAAACTGCAGGAATGCTTATCTTGTATGAAACGTTTCAAAATTTTCGCTCTCATTTCATTTTATTAAAGGAGAGCAAACTAATACCATCGCTTGAAATTTGTATAGACTATTCTCCACACAATTTCAAGAAATGACATTCAGTATTTCTCCGATAAAAAAATAAAGTAAGACAGGAAGCCTGCAAAATTGCAAATCTAGATATACCTGTTCCTGCAGTTTCACCATCACATAGTGCCATAATATTTTGCCATAGTGCCCATAATATTTTCAATATTTTGTTTTTCCACAATTGCTTGTACAAACAGGGTTACATTAACACAGGGTTACAAGGTTTTGGTCACAAAAATTTAGTATTTGTATCCAAAGGACTAATGCATTTAACATTTTTCAGTTTTTAGCAGAATTAATGTGGCCTTTCCAAACGCACTGTTGCCATTCGTGATCAAATGAGTGGTTTAAGGAGATTTGAATAAAAATTCCATAATTTCTCACTTAAAAAAATGTAGTGTGAAAACTATAGAGAATGGCTAACTACAAACCAATCTAACTGTGATCTAAACTGGCTCACTGCCTAGCTTCAGAAAAATAAAAGCATCCTAATATTAGCTCCAGCCAGGGACTTCCAAGCAGAGTGGGAAGATGACAGGCATGCGATGAAGTATACTGCTAAATTAGGTACGTTAGAAAATCAGCAAGGTTACTGTTGATTGGTACTGCAACTCATTGAAGAAATCTCTTATTGAATTACTGCCTATTGAAGTAAAATACAAAAGAGAAATTTCTCATATTAGTTGGGTTGTAGGTTTGGGGAAAATGAGATGAAAATGAAAAGATTACATTTGCATAAGGACTATCTTCATCCTCATCCTCGTTTGATGCTGGCTCTTGGAAGCGCACTTTACTGGCAGTTTTGACATCATGGTGATGGTGGTCAAGAATTGATTGGACCTTGAAACAAAATGAGGAGAGTTAGAGCTTAGGAGACATACAAAGCGGCAGGGGTACTAAAAGACTCATGACACTGGGTTAAATTTTGGAGAATTTGATATTAATTGAATTTGAATAGAATGTGAACTTATGATTCAATGTGCAAAAAATTTTAATGCCCTTGATCTACTCAGCAAATGATTTACAGTCGCTTCAAGAAAAGCATTCATTTCTGGTTGGCTGTACGCCAACTTATGTTTGACTTATTCTGCTTTTGCTACATGATTGATTTTCTTATCATTCTTCAAAATTAATTTTCTCTCACCTGACGCCTAGTCAGGCACCTATTTAAAGTCACAATAATACTCATTTCATGACAAAAACTTAGCTTCTCTTTAAATTCTACCAGTAGGTACATACTTATTTAACACTGTGAATAATTCCCTCCCAACTAAACAATAATTTAACATTAAATGATCAGTGCAGATGATTTGCATTGAACAGAGCTTGAGATACGTGTATAAAGAGCTGAATAATTTGAAATTGATAAAATTCAAAAAAATTTTGGTGAATGGTGATATTACAGGAAACTGAACTAAGTTTATGGATGCTGGCTATTGTATACACATCAGAAAATTTAGCTGGCCTAACCAATAACATTTAACAAATATCTCTTTCCCTTAATTTAGTTGCCTTTATACATCTGCGATACCTTTCAGGTACACAAAAATCAGACAAAATAATGTTCCCAACAAACAAGCGCTGTTTGATGTGCAAGGCATTAGATTTGCGGCAGAATAATTTGTCTCCAGCACAAAATGAAACAAAACTGGCTAGAATGCTAGTAGGTGCCAAAACAGTTAGAGGGAACTTTGCTGATGATCATGCAGAATAAGATATCCTAGAGTGATAGGATCAACTGTGAGGGCTAAATGTGACATTCAAGACATGAGACATTCAATGAAATGATGATGATGAACGGTGAAGAGTGGCAGGCATGATGATGATATGAATGAAATGACTCTTCGTAGCTTTGTCGGCGTGAATTAAAAGGTTTCAATAATCTACCTACCAATTGATCAATTCAATATAGACCAAATTAAAATGATCTAAAAGGCTAAGAAACATTGATGAGATCTACAGTTAAAAACTGCACTTTGTACAAAATAAGAGGCAGGTTTTCCTTCAAGGTAAGAGGAGCAGGTTCGAAATAGTTTTTATATTAACTCGCCATTTAAATTCATCCAAAGATTTTTGGGGTGTTAAAGGAAAACTGTGGACCGTACTGATGTATTTACTGTTAAATTCATGATCCATACCAGCAAATTTACAACCACTTTTGCAAAGGAGGAGAAATAATCACTTGAATAACAAACATAAAGAAACACAACTTGGAAGAGAAGAACAGGATTTCTGTTTCACTTTTGTAGAACTAGATAAATGTGTACTGTTAGAAAAAAACCTCTTTGTCAATACTGGCCCGATTTAGAAATTCAATATCCGTTAGTATTCCAGAGTCCCTAATAATTGACTCAGCTGGTCTTTTCCACGCATATTAATATTGAGCTGCTCATTATCCTAATTGTTGTCTCCTGTGAGAAGAAACGTACCTCGATGGCGCTGTTTCACTGTTTCAAACGAACATTTTATTTATTTATGGAAGAACCACTACATGAATTTGACTATTGAATGTTATGTTTTATTTCCAGTAATTTTTCTTTACACTCATGAAAAAAGACACTTAAATTCTCCATCAAATTCTTGCAATGGTTCTCCTATGAAAAAATAAAATATTTGTATACATACTGAAATAGTGCAGGCCAGAAACGTTCCTCCTTGCAGCAGACAACGAAATATCTCAAGGTAAGTGGGTACCATAAAAGTAGCATTCATCTTCCTCTCGAACAGGTTACAGAAAATGAGGGATGTCCACAACATACATATAGAGTGATCATTTCTAAATTGAGGATTCCGGTGCCAAAAGGCATGTCAGTTTTACAGCTTTTCAGAATCTCTACACGCAATTTTTTTTCTTTTCAGCAGACACTATTGGATCATTAAAGAGATTTACGCTAAAAATCTAATTTAATGAAGAAGAATCAGTCAAATTTCCATCTCTCTACAGGCATTTTTTTTTCCTGTTAACAATAAATGGTAAAAATGTAAAGAGAAATTCTCGAACACTGAAACCGAGCAAAAACCTCATGGCACCCAAGTCCTCAATCGCTAATTTGTTAAGAAAAGTCTTGTAGGTACAGTTTTTTATGATAAAGACACAAAGAAGGAAGGTGTTCTGTGAAATAATTTAACATGTAGATGTTCAAATGTGATACGGCAGTCCAAGGTCTTATGACAAGATAAGATTGCTTTGCACAATGGATTGGAGATTGCATTTTTGTGCCAATTTCTTTTGATTTTTAGGGCTGAAGAGCGAGTAGGATACATACTCTCTTCCTAATGAGTACGTGCAAGGCAGGTTGGAGTAGAGCAACACTAAAGTTAGCTCCAGCAGACACTTAGCCGTTGCTACTCTGGAGTGAACACTCATGCATAAAACTAAAAGGTTTCAAGTATGTACAGTCAACATTCAACATGGATATTCAAAAAAAGGATGAAAAATAAAAAACAGATGTAATGACAGTAATGATGAGTCTCGGCCAGATTGATATAAGGCAATGTCACTTCTTTACTAACTAAGTAAAAACAACATAAAGCCTAATGACAAAGCAGAAGTACTGTGTCATTTGCTTTCTTTTTGAATCAGCGTTTTTCGATGGTGAGATTTTGTTGTTGAGCATAGATTTTGATCAAATTAACGAAAAATTTACCGGAGATTAATAAAGTGGTTTCTTAGATGTCTTTTTTACTGATTGAACGTCTTTCAGTATCTTCTCAAGATGATGCTTAGAAAACTAGAGACAAACTTGGTAATGATGGCTGAATGAGAAAACTGCTGATCTCAATTGTAACATTTAAAAATCAACGATTACCTATGTTTAATTTTCTTCATATAAAACTACTGGAAAGTTTATCTTGCAATTTTGTGTAATTATTTTAGAGTGAGTGGAGAAAATTCACTGATAATTTGGACAGAAACTGTTCATTTGTTTTCCTTCAGGAAAATGAAACAAGAAACTTCCAGCATCGCAATCTGAGAAACGCATTATTCAACTTTACCCATTTGTAGGAGCATGCTGCAGAGACATTTTCACTTCATAACTTCCGAGTTGAATTAACTCTGAGCATGATTCATTTGGGGGTAAGGTGGTTAATTAGAAACCTGATACATTCCTTACTATATGTTTTCAAGAAATGACAAAAAGCCTTAATATGCTGACCCTGGAAGTATTGTGGAGATGACCAGCTGCGTATGAGTATTTTCTGCCTGAATTTTTCTAACCTTAAATTCCACGTCAAGAGACGTTTCACCACTTTTATGAATAGAAAAACTGGATTGGCTACTTATTGTTTTAAATTTCTTATATTCAAATGCACATGGCAAACAAAAGTTATCAAAAAATGTCATCTTCTGTTTCCTCCTTATCAAGATCTTGCTTATGATATTTTCATAAAAAGATCTTTTAACCTTTAGCACCATCTTATAACAAATATATCAAACATTTTAAACATTTTGCTTTAGAAATTTTAAAAACCAAGGCAGTATTTCAGGCAGAAAATTTGTTTGTTTGATGATGATTGCTAAAAAATAACATGAGAACAGAAAATACAATATGGTCACCAACCAGTGGCATGTTCTCCTCTGACGGGACTTCATTGAAATCGACAATGTTTTGCACCTTTTGCGGCACAAAGAAAAGTAAATAGAAACTAGCATAAGTAACTCCATATACATATGACATCATGGCAGATGAAAATACAAACATAAAATGATTTTGCTCTTAAATGTATGTCTCAAAGCTGCATAAGTTTGAAAGAATCCACCGCTGCAAATGTTCTTATGACTGTCCCACTGGTAGAATGCCAATCGTCAATGTTTAGTGAGATCATAAGACAGTCATTAAACCTAATTGCCAGACACTTGAGTACCTTCATTAGGTCAGTATGGACTTGTTATTTGATTGCGATCTTTGAACTCGGATAGGCAGCCAACCTTCTCAAAGTTATTTCATGAAAAATGACGACCGAGAAGTGTGAATATTCAATTCAAAACAATGTTTTAAATAATTTTGCTGGGCTTTCACAAAATAATCTTGATTCTAATATGTATGTAGTAATATGAAGGTAGAGTCCCTTTATACCCAGAGTAACGACAACTCGATTATCAGCTGACTGGCAGCCGACCTTGGCTGGCCATGGAGGCCGAAACTAGTGCACCCTAACGAACGATATTGAGGGATAAGGATCAGGAATCCTGATCCGATGTCTGTCACACAAAAAAAACAACATCAACAAATTGATCAATTAAAAAGAAAATGAGATTGGTTTGTGAATAATTTCTTGATCTATTTTCATTTTGGACCGATGGAAATAACAATTTACTCTTGATAAACCACAATTAGGTGATATTTTCATTGTTCTTGTTCACATACGAGGTACCGCCATCTTGGTGCACTCGTTTCGGCCTCCATGAGCGAGAACCAATCAGAATTGGATTTTTTTTTAGGCCACTTTTAGCCCAATCCTGGCCCAACCAAAAGTGAGTTGTCGTAACTCTGGGTATAAAGGGACTCTAATATGAAGGGACTGGTGTGTAATAAGAATAAGTCATTTGAAATAAGTATGAGTTGGCTGCCTGTTGGAGTCCTAACTTACTCCCAGAGGCATCATTGATGACCTGATGAATTTTCGGATTCCTGTACTCTTTAATACTCTCCTAATAAAGGTTCTCTACCTGTTATTACTTCGTCACATAGACCAATAATGGATACAGCATCCAGCGCAAAATAAAAAATCTAAATTTTGGGGGCGAAAGGTTTTGCTTGAGCTGTTGTTTCCACCGTTATTCGGATCAAAATGACTGGTAAATCAACATCAGTAGAAATACTTTGATGGATTGCAGCAGAAAAAAATTCTTGAGTTTTAATTTTGTTCTGCAACTGTCTAAAAATCATGAATTTTCCACAAATTACAGCACACTTTAAGTAAATTGAGCATGTTAGGTATGTTTGTTTCCTTAGCTCTAAAACTGAACACGTGCTTCAATCAATATTTGTCCGTGACTTTTATTCTCAGTTTCCCTCAAGTGCAGAGACTATGAAATTGGAAGAACACAGGTATATTTTTAGTGATGATGACTTCACACAATTCTGAGATGGATTCAATATTGACACAAATACAAATACACACATTAGTACTAGTGACACACACTCTATCTTAGAAATTGAGGAAAGGCTCAAGGAAAACATGGCATGAACGCAGGATTGAAATTTTTGATTAAACCAATGGTGAGTTGAGGCTCTTTGACAGCTGACTACAAAAATCAACTCCTTCATGAGAGAAACTTGTGCCGTTTATTTAAATGTTATTTTCCTTGCACAAATGGATTGACTCCCTGCGGATACAGACAACTCTTCTTAATGTGCATGATGCCTCTCAGCCAAAGATCATCTGATAACACAAATCATAGGAGGAGATATAATGAGACTTACCATTCCTAGTGCTTCACGTTTGTTTAGCCTAAGTTCTTTTAACATTTGACTTCTCTGCTCCATCATCAGGGTTCGTTCGTAGGTATACGCTGAAATATCGCTGTCCGTCTAAAAACAAAAAATGAAAACATTAAACTATGACGCAGAAAGAAAGTCTCATAATTACTGCTTCATTTTCGGGGAATAAATTTGATATACAATTGCACAAAAAATTTCCTTCAAAGAAAAAAAAAGAAGGCAAAAAGGATTATGGAAACTTATGGTGAAAAGTTGGCTGTTAGAGGTTCAAATTATTGAACCTGTAATGAAAATACAGTACTCTCCTGCTTAAACTTTTCCTTCAAAGAAAAAAAAGAAGGCAAAAAGCTCGATGGAAACTTTTGGTGAAAAGTTGGCTGTTAGGACAGCTTCAAATTATTGAGCCTGTAATGAAAATACAGTACTGTCCTGCTATAACGAATCGTCAAGGGACCGGGCGATTCCTCAGCAAAAGAGAGATTTTCGTTACAATGAGTGTCGTTATAGCGAGAAAATACTGTACATGGGACTTTTGGGCTTCGATTTCCCTGCAGAACAGTGTGGACCCAGCACTCTTCCACCACCTTGTTATTTACAGTTTGGGCCATATTTATAGTGTTTTTTTTCTTACTTAATCATTTCAACTGCGTATGAAAATCAAGCTTCCACATTTTACGATGATTGTAAAAAACTAGCACCTACCATTTCTACAACCTCTACTTCAGCAGCAATACGGAGATGATAAAGGAACATCTTCAGATCTTTCTTCATCTGGATTGAGTTGTCTTCCATTTGGGCTACAGTGAAGATACGGAGCTTGCAGTTTCGCCAAGTTCTGTGCTGCTTCAGCAAGAACGGCAGCAACATCAGAAGTCCACCATCGTGAACAATCCACCAGACGTCAATGTGTCCAGCCATCTGTAAGTAAAATAATCCAATCGCTCGTATTAAAAGCTGATCATACTTGTCTAAGTATTAAATTAACACAAACCAAAACTACTTATATTTAAAATTAAGTCATTAAAAGAAAAAATTTAGGCACAATGTGGATTAAGTTTTTACAAACAAAGCTCGAGAAAAAAAGACTACTCAAAACATTTACCAAAATACTCTCAAAATGTATATCTACCACAAAACAACAGTGGGGAGACAAATAAATTTACATAACTTTCATTACTTTTTATAATGGAACACAATCTGATAGTTTTCTATACTTAGATAAAAAAGGCCACGACTTAATCCACATTTTCGAATTCTGACACTTTTGAAATGACATCTTCCAACTTTTACCATATACACCAAAAGCTGATTACTTGTTCAAACTTAATTGTGTCTAGCCAAATCCAATTTAGAAATCTGACAAAAAAGCTACCATACAAGAAAAATATCCCACCACAGTCTAAAAAAAACCAAAAAAGAAAAACTGTTCACATCCGTAAACAGTTTACAAAAACAGTCTTATCCATATTTCTATGAAAAATTGTTCTCAAAAAGGAGAGGATGATTTAGCGTTTTATTCAGGATGAATTTGAAAATAAAATGGTGCAAATACACAAAAACTAACGAGAAGTGCAGGGACGGCAGTTGAAAGTTTACACGAAAAAAAATTTAAAAAAGTGGCTACTTTGCATTCCAAAAGAGCTCAATATCAGTCTATGTTTCCCCATGAAGTAATTTTCAACTAGTTGAACCACATATTTGATACACTTTAATTCATCATGAAAGCTTCGACATTTGAACAACAATGCATTAAAAGATGACCAAAATAGGTATCAATGTTTTTTCCAACATATGCATCATGATTATCACCAAAATATATTAACACCTATAAACTTTGAAAAGATACCCAAATTTTTATTTTAAAATTTTCATGTTAGTTACTTATAAAAACTTTATGCCTTGAAAAAGTATCTTTGATCAGCGACACAAATTGACGATAAAACTGCGGAAATGTGTAGCTTGGTGTGTTGCATTGCAGAGTTTCTGTCACACTTTATTTTCTGAACATAAAACTTAAAGTAATTTCTAGAGCACTTTGCTTATTTTCCCTCTCTGTGTTAATAATATTCTGAGTCAATATCAAGCCATTTTTTTTGTTCACACTCTTTTCAATAAATAAAATAGGAGCAGAGATTTTGAAACATCACAACCAAGATACGCGTTCCAGCAGTTTCACCTGTGAAATGTTGGTGAACAAAATAATTTAATATAAATCTTAGGGTTTCATTGTCATAAATGTTAAAAATCTATATCAGATAAGAGTGAGGAATGAGAAGTATTGAGACTTCAAGCGAGAAATGATGCTTTTCGGAATGCAAATCACACTTTTTTAGATACTCCCACACTGAAAAACAGTACTGAGTAGGATGGTAAACTGTTTAAGGACGAAACTGAAGAACACCGTTGTACAGATTGTTGTTCATGGTGGTATGATGATGACACTACTTACGCAGTCTTGAAAGCAAAGAGATTTGGAACAGAGAAAAAAGTGTAGTTGTTCAGTTATGATATTTGAAATTGAATAATTTTACAAGGTGTGTTTTAAAAGTATCTGAGCTGGAAAATTTATGATAATTGTGAAAATTTACAAGGAAGGTAGACAATAATACAGTGAGATATGAATGGTAAAAAGCTACAGCAAATTAGACATGATTATGTATACTGGTGTTCTTGATGAAAAATGTTGTTTTCAAACGGTGATTTTCCATGTTCTTAGCTTGGTTATAGCGTGAGTATGGTGCTAGATGCTGCAATGGTTAGATATAAGTTTCAAATGATGGTATAAAAAGCCCTACTGTTCAAAGCAAGACCACTGAACATCATTCAACATCCTGTAAAATTTCCCTGACACAAATGCATTGTTCCGAGAAAAGTAAACAACATTCACCCTTTACACTTTTAGAATGACTAATTCATTCTGTTGAAAGCCTAAAAAATGAAGCACAAATTGATCAGATCCAGGGTGTCTCAGAGCACACATGCAAGGCTTTTATCTTGATTATTTTAGGTCTAAGACCTTGAGAGCGAATAGAGAATGGACCCCGAGGAAGTCGAATTTCATTATTTTGAAGTTCCCGATGGTACCCTTTGCACTTCTTGTCACAATTTTTAAAGTTTTTGATTTAAATCAGAAAGTTTGAAAAATGTTAGCCTAAATCAACGCCAAAAAGTCCAAAATAGTTCCTTTTCCTGTCCAAAATACTGACCCCTGAGGTTGGAAGACAAAGCCCCCCCCTCAATAAAGTGAAAATTTGCTAAACTGACAAAACGGTCTGGTAAAAAGGAGTATTCGTGGGTAATCAACCACAAGAAATCAGAATCTGACGGTCCTGAAGCTCCTAAGTGCCTTGTTGATTCAGAAAAGATTCGTCTACTTATAGATTTATCAAGTCTACGGTTTGTACGTTACCCCATCTGTGAGGCTTTAGGAGGCTTAGAGGTTGTCCCTGCAAACTTTGACTTCGCCCGATCTAAAATAACCAAGAATGAAGCCTAGAATAGGAAGTCTCAGACACAGTGCTTTTGAGTTCAAGAGAAATTTGCGCAGAACAAATGTTGCCAAATCTAGAATAGAGTTACAGCGTCTGTGCTTTGAACAGTAGAGGTCAGGCAAAGAAAATTTTAGACTATAAAATTTTTGGATGTGATGACTTACTCACTCCATGAAGGATGCATGATTTAATGCAACGAGAAGTTGCTTCTTATAATTTTTCTGTAAGCTAATGACAATAAAAAAAATACAACTCAAGCTGTTGAGATGTTTCAGTTGCTGCTGAGTTTGGCTGAAAAAATGAGGTCTTCATACAATGACAAGCGCCTGAAATTTGCAAAATCACCAACAGATAAAGGCATCTAAAATCTGCGTAGATTCATCGCAAAGAATAGCTGAGAACATGATGGATGAATAGTGCCCGATTCCTTTAGCATTAACATAGAGAACATTGACCTTTAGGAAAAAATCATTGTAATGTACGCCACCTAAAGAAATTTTGAACAATACAAGGTAAATGAACCACACATAAAACCATCAAAATACTTGATTTAGGCAAATGGTGAATGAAATTTTGAACAAGAGGATGGATGAGAACATACAGATTTGGCAAAATTAAGTGCAAAAGCTTGATGAGAGACTTCCATCGACTCCCTAATTACCTTAAACTTTTTCAAAAGAACCAATTTTTTCTCTGTACAGTACACAAAGACCAGCTCAGATACTTCAGGAACACACCTTGTAAAATTAACAGAATTAAAGCTAGGGTAAAAAAATTATCTGGGAAAGTAAACTCCTACTTTGATGTTGGCGTCCGGGAAAAAGTTGATTCCTTTTGGTACGAGGAGAGCCATGCGAGCAGTGGCAACATTGCGAACCGTTTGTAAGAACAAGTGCCATGTGGGAGCTCCTTCTTTCTGACGCCAACTGTACGGCCACCCAAGGATAACTGTATTTGGCTTTAATCCACCAAGTCCAGATGACTGAATCCTGAAATGAAAAATTTGCTATGTTACCTATTGTGAGGTGGCAAAAATTGACTGAATTGAACAAAAAGGAATCGAGTCACATTTTATCAAAAAAATGAGTTGCGAGTTGTTTCAAGCTAATGGGCATCACACTTTCTCCTTGTAAGAATTCAAAGTTAAAAGAAGATGTTTTGAAAGTGAAAACGGGCACTGAATTTTATTTCCAACATAGAGTCTCACAGAGAAAGAAATCAAACCTCTTTTTCTCAATTTTATCTGGACGTAACTTGGTGCCTTTCTGTTAAACCTTTGACTATTTTTTTAATGCCTAGACATATTTATGTTTAAAGAAACTATGTTCATAGGGTTTATGTGCAACATAGTTCCTTTTTGCATAATTACGTTGAATTAAGGTTTATTTTTCACTGTAGACAGTAAATATACCTCACCAATCTCACCTAGTTAGTAGGCAAGAGTTTTAGTCAAAGTTCACTTGAAAAGTTAATGTTCACTACGCTCACTTTAAAACTTAAAAATTGAAAAAAAATATTTTTTTAATAAAACTCAATGTAAGATTACAAAAGTTATTTGATGGACGTGATTGATTTCTTACAAATTTTAACAATCAGCTTGTTAAAAAATTATTACCTACACTTTTTGGCGATTAAAGTGTAAAGTTTGGGGCGCTCAGTTTACTTTGATTTTTTTAAAGTGGATGAAAAAAAAACTTTCTTTAAATTAGGTACCTCTTTCAAGTATCAAATAAATGATTCATTCAGTTCTTAGGTTCGTAAATATCTTAATCAAACTCGGACTTGTTTAGTGTTAATAATTCAGGAACACTTAACCGTATAATAACCAGTTCTGTCAAGAAAATTAGAATTGCAAAAACCAAAAAAATTGACTTACAGATGACTGATGCCTTCAACGACATTGTGTGCAACCAGCACTTCCACAAAGCCTTTCAGTTTTTCTTCGCCCATGACTTTGCGGAGACTATCCTTGGCTGATAGAGCTTCGCTAGCATTTTTGGTGTATTCACCTGGGATCACACCAGCACAGACACAAAGCCCTTTGCCTGTAAAATACAGACAATTGTCAAAAATGGATTCCAGACACATTACCTTTTTCCTTGTTTCGTTTTTCTCGTGGGATGAATAGGTACACTAGACTCCCGGTTATTGAGATTAATTTGGACTGGACTGATCCAGATAGCAAAAACTTCGAATAATTTAAAAATAGCTAAAAATTTCAACCAAAATAGTACCTGCCCAATAAGGTCCTAAATGGATCTGTCCTAGTTGATTGTTCAACGTGCACATTTGATTAAACACACTTGTCTGATCAATCTAGATGAACTAGAGTTCGAGTAATTTTGTATCTAGATAATCTAGAGTCTAAGTAGTGTGCCTCATTACCCTTACTTTCAGTCGGAGGATTTTTGCTTTAAAAAAGGTTGAATTGTACCAAGCTTGGCAAGAGTTGCTGCTTTGATCTAAGTAAGATGTTTGAAGAGAAATGATTCAGCAATTTTCTTTTTACTGCCAAATGTTTTCAGCGTTGAAATACTCATTTAAGTAAACTAGTCATTTGTCAGTTTTTGTCCAAAAATAAAGAATAAAAACTCAGAGGTTATTGTGGAATTTTCTGCAGGCCAGCATATTGAACAGCACTAAGAATTTGAGAATGCAGAAAATGAGTTGAAGCACAATCTTGGACACCAGATCAAATTTGAGAGAGTGTAAAAATCTTGGAAAGCCTGATCTTTTTGTGAAATTTTGAACATTGGATACATTTATTAATTATTGTAAATTTTTTCGATTTTCAGTATTTGTGATCCAAAGTTGCAGCTAGAAAAAACAGTAAGTTTTTTCTCCAGATTCCAGGAAAATTCAAATGTATAACACTGCTATAACTTACATCCTTGAAAGAAATTTAAAAAATTTCCTGATAAGACTGATCTCCTGACTAATTCGTCCAAATAATGATTCTTAATTTCAAAATAAACTTGAGCAATAAATTACCAAAACGTACCAGCTTTGAGTTGAGAGGTGAACGTAATCAATTTTCTGTACTTGGGAGAGTAGTCTTGGTTCAATTTAGTAAGAACGAGAATCTGCGGTCGCCAGTTTTTGGTGTGAGGCTGACCTTCTTCCAGTCTCAAGAGGGCAAATCGGGCAGCCGAGAGGGACAATCCTCTGATACCGTCACCCCATTCCTTCTCCGCTCTGCAAAACCATGAGCATAGTTGAAAAACGGGAGTTTTTTGACATATTAAGGCAACAAGTAAGTTACAGCATTTTGCATGTTACTTAATGATTTAAATTGAAAAAGAAAGTCTTGCCTTTACACGCTATGTTCATCCACAACAACAATTTGTAGTAAACAACAAAGCAAGTAAAGGCAAGACTTTCTTTTTCAATTAAATTCATTAAGGGAATCTTCATAAAAATCTGATCCTTGAGTTTTATAAATCAATAATTTTGCAGACGAAGTTCTTTGGTCATTATTATTTTTATTTTCATGTTATTATAAATTTTGATAAAAAATATGTTGCCTTGGGATTTCTTAAGGCTACCTACTTTGTGTCTTTATGCATGAATTGATTTAAATATAAAATGAAACTGATGACTAGAATGGATAAAACAACTGAAATGGTAATCAATTGTTGTGAATTAAGTAGCTCTAACTTTGATCAAATGAAAATTGTACAATACCCCTAATAATATGAGGTACTGAGAAAACTGAAGCTAAAAATGTATGTGTCCCTAATATCAGCTGCAGCCTTACTCCTTGCCAAAATCTTCATGAAATATTCTAAAATCTCAAGAATTCTGTAAATCAAACTTGTCAGCAAAATGGCTCCTACAATTTTGGGGTGAAGCGTTAATGCAACACTGCCAAGTGGCAAGGTACACTCTATTACAGGTATGGACAAATGGAATTTTAGAAAGTCGTCAAAACGCGTAGATTTGACAGCATCGAGAGTACGACTGCGAAGACCTGCGCGGCAAATGGACGGTACGACTTCATACGTCACTCGATTGCCGATTTTCTCAGCGCTGCCACTTCGGCACCCCGTTAGTCCATACCTGTAGTAGAGTGTACCTTGGCCAAGTGGCAACTGGCAACTTTTAACTGGCAATTGGTGTCTTTCTGATGACTTTGCAGCTTACCTAAGTATTGTATGGAATGAATTTACTTTGCAAAAGCACGATATCCTAGCCTTCATAATATTGACAATTACCAGAAAGAGTTCTTGCATAGTTATTGATGCGGTAGGAGTTTGGGAGCTTGCCAAATTCAAAGATACATCATTTGTAAAGAGTTGAATCATTGCCTTACCCTCTGTATTCGATGTATTTGTAAATAATGCCAGCCATTCCCATGGCCACCAAAGCATAATACCAACTGGACATGAACATCACAGCGATACATAAACTCAGTCCGATGAAAGATAACGACCTGTAACATAAGATATATGTATTTAGTTCATGCCTTATAGAGCTGAGGGGTAAAACATTTTTTTTTTATGGTTGAGTATTTTTATCAACTTCAATTAGAATAAATTACGTGCGTACATTTCGGAGCTCCTACCATACCTGGCTAGCCTCTTAAACACATATTTGAGATGAATAGGTAGGGTCAGAGAGGGTCGTCTGAATAGTGATCTTCGGAACAGTGTTTTGAATTTTCTTTCACCAAATTCATTATTCTATACCTTAAGAGTTTTCACAAAGATGACTGAGAAGGGAGGAATTGGACAGAAGTTGCCTGGAAAAAATATTGATTTGAAGATCGGTATACCCTGTGTGATTCTATTGAAAAAAACTTATTCATTTTCTTACTTGCACAATCATAATATCTGATTGAAGAATCGCTAGGTATATTGACAGCTGGGAAGGATAAATTCTAATGTTTAAGAGCGTGGACTTCTTTTTTGAGAAACGAAGGTTTATTATAAATATATCACAGATCTAAGCCCCAAATACCTACCCTAACTGCTAGAGAAAAAACTTCAACCAACCGACAACAGACTGGAACTTGAGGCATAGTTCAAACACCACCGAAACAGTTTATTTCCTATCATTAGGTGTGAAATCACTGATGGACTGATAAATATTGCAAAAGCTGGATGCCAATCCATAATTTTTAATGAAATTAATTAATGACTGTGATCAAAATTCGGAGTGATAAGAGATACGTAGCTGCAAATAGCTCACAAGGACTTACTTTTTGTGTGTAAACACAAACATAACCTCTGATTCACCCACATGGAGTGATGGTTCGTTGCCGGTTCCGTTCTTTAGATGAGGAACATGGCAGAGTGAACTACAGCTAAAACGGTCAAAACGGTCAAATGACTTGCAAATGACTCGTCAATACTTGCTGCGCTCAAGGCTTATTTGACGACGATGAAAAACTTTCGATAGTTCGTAATATCTGAGGCATGGAAAAACTGTGTAAGCCCTCAGACGTTGCCATATTTCCTTCGATAGAAAATTGATTTACTTGGAAAATTGTGAATATTTTTCTTCAAATATTTCTGAAATTTTTTTTCACAATTTAATCTTAAATATCTGAAAGTACACACCTAAAATATCGAAAAATATCGAGGAAAAATTTGCATAACTTACTTCCAAAACAAATTTCTTAAAATGGGAAATTCGGCAACTTTTGAAAGTTCAAGCGGTGCACACTGGACGGAGCTGATAGGAGTAGTTGGACAAACTTTGAAAACTTTAAAAGCGTATATTTTTTCGAAAATATAAAACAAAAAATTGAAGAATGGCTCTAATGAGTTTTTCATGAAAATTCATTTCAGAAACACCCCTTGAAAATGAATTTGTGACTATAAAAACATCAAACTTTGAAAAAAAATTCATGTCCGACCTCTTCTATTAGCTCGTTCCATTGTGCGGCGTTCTCTTCAGCATGGCAGTATTGGGTGTTGGGACCGTTGAGTATAAAGGCGTAATGTAAGTGGGTGAGCTGGCGCCGCTTTTAAGCATTTTCCAGGTCCCGAATTCCGAGACTCCTGTGTGACGCCGGGTCACTTTTTCGATACATAATCGATTGTTTGCGATACACGGGTACCCGGCCATCCGATGTAAACAAAGAAGATAGGAATCACCACGTATTCCATACCGCCATTTTGGATCGAACATGTATCGAAAAAGTGACCCGAACTCGGCGCAAACCGGGCTCGGAACTCGTCGAGCAGAACATGGCGCCGGCTCTCCCATTTACATTACGACTCTATGTACTCTATGGTCATGTGAGAAAGCGGAAACTCACCAATGGTAGAAGCGGAAGCGAGGCCTCCAGTTGGGGGTGCGGAGGAGGGTCTGGAGGGCGCAGGCGAGGTTGACGAATCCGTAGCACATCAAGAAGAACATGGACAGGAGCGGCGCCAGGTAGTCCACGTTCCCGAGCAGGATCCCGCACTGGCAGATGAAGAGCGTGAACAGGAGGGCGCGCGTCGGCTCGCCCCGCGACGACGACTTGGCGAACGGAGCCAGGAACGGGATGATCTCGTCCTTCGCGATCGCCTGAAACCCAAACAAAGCAAAAGACAATCAGAGAAAGAAACCACGAAAGTAGAAATCACGAAGTGATAAGAAGACCTGATGATGGGTTACTCAGATACCAAAATGGACATCGTCGTTTAAAAAAGGAAAATAACCAGGAGATCAGGCGGAAGAAAAGGTAAAAGCAAAAATTGTCTAGGGAAACATCAAAAGACATTAGTCTTCAACTCTTCAAACATGGATGGACAAGGCCGGATAGAAGCGCCAGATACACCTCTGTATACGGGAGAGAATTGCCATCTCAATCTTTTTACTACAAAAAAAGTGTGCCGCTCTCTGATTGGTCGGTTATCATGGTGCCCCAAAGTTGGACCGGTTGGACCAATGTAAACAAGCCCCTGCCCCTTCGCTCCTAATTTGGCCCAATTTAAACAGACAAGATGGCGGGAAAGTTCTACAAAGTTCTAGACGTGATTTTGGGTGTGATAGAAATTTTTTTAAATCCAACTTCTGAATTGAGTTCGGATCGAACTTTGATGAACATTTTTGCCAAAAACTAAGCTTTGAGTGTGATCATCGTTCATTTCTCAGCCGATAGTACGTGTTCCTCTGGGTCGGGTTTGTTTCCAACTTTGGAGCTCCATGATATCTTAAAACTGATGAACCAATCAGAGAGTGGCACAGAGATAGCAATTAATACTCACCCGTATACAGGTACCCTAAATACACTTGCTTGCTAGAGGCGCGTGCGTATTTCGTATTTGCGTATTGCACCATTTGGCAACGCTGCCATGATGCAACACTGCTCATTCGAACTCAAAGGTTAATTTATTTCATGGTAAAAACGATTGCTCATTGTAAATGCAACGAAGAACCCCTTGAGAACTACCAACCGCAGCCATACGTTGTACCTGATAAAACCAAACCGCCTGCAATTTCGTGGGTATGCAACACGGGCATCCCAAGAACGCGAATAGTTGCATCCTACATGGCCATTGAAAAAGCACAGAGCGCCTTCAATTTTTTCCGCTAGTGATAAGGAAATCGGTCACTCATGGCATTCATACGTCGTCATTGACGAATATATGGTGGTTTGAGTGTTTAATCAAATTCAAAAAAAGAAATGAGTAAATTAAGGATAAATTTATAAATCAGGTCAGTGAAAAAAGCCGTCATTCAGGGCAACTCCTCCTCCATTTAAAATTTTAAAGAATAAACTCATTCTGGTCAACATTTTTGGAAATTCAGCTGGTAAAAATTGACGGATCTTAGCTCTTACTAAGAATATTTTAATTGCAAGAGCTTTCTCTCTGGAGAGGAAAAGTGGCGAAAATGAGTGAAATGAATGAGAGACTAGGTACGTTCGTTTAGGGAAAAAAATCGAAAGTTTTCATCGTTGCCGCAGAGCACAGAGCTACAGTTGAGCTGATATTAATAACAAATCTTTTCCTCCCGGGGATTATCTGCTCCAGAGCGACGCGCGGGAGGACAGAGCATTGTTGCCAAATGGACTTATGGACAAGGCAGTAAAGGGATAAATGTTTTTTCCTAAAAATTTTCACGTAAAACATCAGATGATAAAAGTTTCCATATTTTCGCAAAAATTCAAATTAGAAAGAAATGACGTTTTACATATGACTATCAATTCGAAATTTCTGCCTGCCTCACGCTAAAAAAAACCCAATTTGTGTAGAATTAGCGTGCAATTTTTTTCTTTTTTTTTTTCTTTGGAACATTAAAAGAGATAATCCAATATACAGTGAGACACCTAGATTCCCGGGCAAGTTGGGGAGTTTTGCGCATCAGATCAATTTTTGGAAGAGATACAGGAGGCTCCAAAAAATTTTGACTTGGAAATTAAAGACCGTAATCGATAACGGTTCGATGTATCGTTTGGTTCAAAACAATACAACATAGCCTCAAACCAAACTGTAAAGATTTACATATAAGTTGAAAAAGCTGAAAATGAGAAATTTTCTGACAATTTCACTTTGCATTGGCATTTGGTACTCAAAAGAATAAAAAATCTGTTACAAAAGACCCGTTCTCTCAGATTTCTTAATTTACTTTTGAGGCTATGTTTATGTTTTGAACCAATCGATATCGATACAATTTCACCCGTTTGATGTATCGAATATGATCTATTACCATTTCAGATTTGAAGTTATATCCGATGCTAGTAAAAAAAATTCAAATTGATTTCGATCGAGAGCGATCGCGATCCTCCTCAATCTCCTGATCGAGCATCTTTGCAATAATTACCGAAGTCGCCGAGTTTTTCCGCAGGAAACATATTCAAGTAAAGCAGCAAAATTGGCAACTCTGAACAGGAGCACTTCTTGAAATCGAGCTTCATCTCCCGTCTTTGTCAATATCGGATGCATCCAGGCGGAACGAAGAGAGACTGACGAAAATCGATGTCGCGCCATAAATATCGTCGCTCCTCCGACGTACGGAAGGGCGTATCTCTATTTCCATATGAGCCCCGGAAAACATGGCATTATATGGACGAGAGGGCTCACATAAAAATTGAGATACGATCTCACGACGGAAGAGGGACGATAATAACGGGGAGCCTTTCGCTCATCTCGGTTACGATTTACTCTTCACTTCATCCTCCGTCGAACAATCCTAATGAATTCGTCAACTCGTCTCCAACTGGACCACATTTTTTGAGGAGAAACTACTATTCCGCCGTGCTAAGGAAGAACGCCGTATAAGCCTTCAGGCGTTGCCAAGTTTCCTCTTATAAAAACCGAAATTACTGAGAAAATTGTGAATATTATTGTCTCGAATTTTCCGACAGTTGTGTACACAATTTAATCTAAAGTATCTGAAAATTTCAAGGATAAATATGCATGAATTTTGTAAAAAATACAGGTTTTTATCAAGGGAAATTTGGCAACTCTCGAATGTTCATACGGCGTTCTTCCTTAGCACGGCAGTGTTACTGGCTCATTTTGGAGACAGTCCATGTGTTATTAATTTGGTACCCTTAGCAGATAGGTGCTTTCGTGTGTGGGCGAGAAATAGTAGTTCCTTGATGCAAAATATAGTTACATTCATTGCTCGCGCGCATTCCTGACGACCGCGACAGAGAAAACACCAAAAACCCTCCGGAGCATTTTTGGGTAAAAAATTCGGTCGAGAAAATTAATGTGTTATTTTTAACAAAAAACTAACTCTAGAGTTAAAAAAGAAGAACAAAAAACAGAACAAAAAGACCAAAAGGCCGATTTTGAGTTTCCTGAATCCTTCAAATGAACTTGAAATCACAAAATCGGTCGAGGAACACTAGACTATCTCGTATCCGAGCCGCACGGAATGGAATTCCTTTCAACGAGAGTGGTAATATTCACTTTCCCCTTTATGAATATACGGAATGCAACAGAGCGAGATGGAAAGACACAAAGATTAATCGAATTATTACCTGCAACAAGCGTGGCGCACCAGTCAAACTTTGCAAGCCGGCACCGAGCGTCGAGAGGAATGATCCGACGAGGATGACCCATTCGTTCGGCCACGCGATGTTGGCCACCACCAAGCGTCCACCGATACTTTGACCGAATCTGAGCAGGAAAAACAAAACGAACGAATCAATATACCGTGTGTGTTTTAAAGATGTTTTAAATGGTGTTTTCTTTTCTGTACAGGAGGCATTACGTCACCTTCCGGCCAAAGTGTTAAAAGCGCCATGCGACATTTCAAAATTTCCGCCGCCATTTTATTTTTTTCACAGTGTCATTGAATTTTCTTCGTGCTGTCGATTAAATTCAGTGAACTTTTCAGACAGATTCAACCAACAATTTCTCTGTGGAAAAATAAAATGGCAGTGGAAATTTTGAAACGGCGCATGGCGCATGTGACATTTTGGCCGGAAAGGTGACAACTTCCAATCTTAAGGACATGTAAGTAATACAATAATGTAAGTATTGTAATTTCGCAGAACGGAGGTTAATAAATATTAACTTACAAAAAAAAGAAGAAAAAGAGGCTTAAGTGTTATGCACGACAAGCACAGTTTACATGATCATGTTATATTTTTGGAGCAACTTTACCTCACTAAATATCAGTTAGGTAGGTATAATTAATTCAGCTCAGTACTAAAGTTTACTTTTTAAAGTTCTTTTCGCTCCTATACTGCTGCGTTGAGGTAAAAAGCTGTATGAAAATTCAAGAATTGCTACATTCCTCCGATAAAATGTTTATTTTTCAGGGAAATTATGAATATCTTCTCTTGGAATTTTCAGATAATTAAGACCTGATCGCGAATAAAATGCTCCGAAATACTGGAGGAAAGATATTTACAGATTTCCCTGAGAAAAGGAATTTTATCAAAGAAAATTTGGCAACGTTCTAAGGCTTATGCGACGTTCCTCCTAAGCACGGTAGCATAAAAGTCCTGACATAAGATAAAAGCTCGTTCAAGATGCAGCGCGTGGATAGCCAGCGCGCCTTCAATTTTTGTGCAGGCAACCCCGACAATCGTTGAACACGAATAGTTGCATCCAAGTGCCGTTGTTGATTGTCATCTGAGTAGTGACTTCGCGTTCAAAAGGTATTTGAAGTAACTGACGGATGGATATTCCTTATCAACTTCCGATATTTCAGAGAACGCAAGGCTCTCAAATTCATTTTATTATTTTTTTTTTTTTCAAGTGTAATATATCATGCAAGAATTCCAGAGCAAAAGCTCGGCTGAGGGAGAGGTAAGATAATCCATTTATTGTACTTACTTGTCCCTGAGGAGAAGGCCGTCAACAGTGCCGGCGAAAAGGAGAACACATGACAGGTATACAGAGGACGTGGTAAGGATGGCACATATTGTTCCAATCGGGATAGATTTTTGAGCGTCAGCGAGGTCCCCAGATCTGTTGGAGCCAGCCATAATACCTGCAAACCCACATTATGATTGAAAACTATTTTAAATCCATCCACACTAACAATAAGATTTATCAAATACTATTATTTCGAGTGAAGTTATACGATTTCCAAAAACTAGATTATCTTCATAATTTCAATAAATATACAATACATTTTTCAATAGCTTGTTACACTTCACCTTGTTCCAATAAGAGGGTGTGTAGTTTTTTCCATTTTGGGAAATCCTGATTTTTCCTGATTTTTGACTGCTACATCCTGATTTCATTAGTTTTCTAAATCCTGATCAAATCCTAATTTTTTGCGGAGGAAAATCAAAATTTCTGCATTAGCGCATGCGAAAGCATAAAAAAATCCGATCGGACGGCCGACTTTTCTCAGATCTTGATGAAATCGGGATTAAATCCTGGTTGACCTCATTCCCTGGTAGAATCGGGAAAATTCTGATGCTAGACACCCTTAATAAACTGATGTTTGCTACTTTAATTACAATAAACTCAATCGCATAGTCATAAATAGTACACAGGCTTTGTAAAATAATAATAAATGAGAAATAGAATGAAATAAAATGAAATAGCGCTATAAAAGCGACTCATGTATGTGTATAAATAGAATGAAATACTTTTTAAACGAAAACAAAATAAATAAGAGGACGAGAAAAAAGAAAAACGGCTATAGGAAGAGGATTGGAATTACTGTGACAGATCGGTACGTACCGGTAACAGACGGGAAGAAGAGTCCTATTAGAAAAGTGAATGAGGTGGTTATGTCCGCAAAAACCAGAGGTAGCGGACTCCCTTTAGGCACAGATATTTCTTCTACGGCTTTGCTCCTCGCAATTGCGTCACCTTCCGTCAAAAACTTATCAAAAATATTCTCTGCAACACGTGAGCAAAATTATCAGAATGTGAGAAAAAATGAAGAAAATATTCACTGAATGGTGCTAAAGACATTTTTATCAGGTCAATACGAAGAGGTTTTGTGGAAATGATCAATTAGTACATATCATTCTTGCAGAATAGATAGAGACACCTGTTAGGTCCACGCAAATAATGTGAATTGAGAATTGAAATTCCTCAATGTTTCTCGATATTACGTACCTAATGTCGTCGCTCTTTTGACGTTATAGGGCAAACCTCTGTTTCCACATGAGCCCCAAAAAGCAAAGAGTTATACGAAGAACAGAGTCCACGTAGAAATTGAGATACGGTCTTACATCAGAAGAGCGGCGATGTTTGAGCTTCACTAAATAATAAGTATAGCTCTTAAGAGAAACCTCGTGTAATGACCTCGAACTGTGACTTTGAATCTTGATATCTGCAATGAACTAAATGTGTTGGTTCACCGATAAAGATCGGGTGTATGTTTGCAGTAACAGAATTTCCTTGAAAGTATATCTGTGTACTGAGGTAAATTATGTTTGCGTCTAAAGGGCGGATTATTCACCCATGTAAGATTTTGATTGTGAAAACGAAAGTTTTCAGTTTTGAGTTCGTTTTGAGTTTTCTTTGCGACAAAGACAATTTTCTTGTTACAGCAGTTGATTGTTCAGCTGTTCAATTGAGGAACTTGAAAGACAAGTGGAAGGATTAAAGTTTTTGAAAACGTCGAGATATTAATGATTTCAATTGAATTAGCCCTAAATTATATTCTGTGAAAAATTCACTACTAAAACCGAATTTTCAAGCAGCAAAGAAAGACTTTGAACTTCTTTTCCGACACAAGGCTCCATGTCCATGTAAGTTTGAAACTTTAAACGTAAGTTTTGAAAAAGCAAAAAGTGCACTTATCTCGCGTGTCCTCCAAGCCCATCAGTTGTAAAAAGGAAAGATTACTGGAACTTTTGGGGTTCATTATGCGTTTTCTTTGTACCACATATAAAATCCTTGTCACAGCAGTTAATTTTACACAAACAGAAAAATTTTAGCAGGAAATTCAGGGGGCTGCGCTGCACTAAGGATCGGCCGAAGAAGGCCGAAACGCGTGTACAGTTGCCTTCCTGAATGGCTGATACTAGTGTTGCACCATTCAGTGCATCTCTTTGAGGGAAAATTGTGCTCATATGGGCTTTTTCCCTCTGTAATGAGATTTTCACCTTTATGCTGATTTTTATCGCACGTTGGCGAAAATATTCCAACATAGGTTCAGTTAATTTTACTCGGAGTCGTTCAATTGAAAAAATTAACACATAAATAACCTTCACGATATGACCAGAATTAGTTATGGAGACATGAGATGTTAAAAAAGAGTGCTTACCGAAGAACACACCACTGGAGAGACCTTTTATCCCCCGCACAACTGTTAAATTGCTGGTCAAAAAGTAAGGGTCGCACACCGTTGTCCTATTCGTGTGACAGAAGTGTTTGTAGAGCGGGCCGCCGGGGTTCTTATTACAATCTGATATTTGTATATCTCGTAACAAGCGCTTCCCAAGGACGCATAAACTGAAAGAGGGGAAAATATTAACAAGGTAAAGATTTCGGTGCTAGTAATAATCCTGGAAACAACCCAGCTTGACCTACTTAGCACTTGGACACTTAGTCCAGATGCGGGGGAAATTTGCGGAAAAAATAATTGGGATACACGGTTTTATTGTTGTAAGTTGTTCATTTGGGTATAAAGAACGGTCACAAGAAAGTCCCCATGAATCCGAGTTGTGCTAAACCCAAAGGAGGGGGGGGGGGTCAAATTGGGATATTTTCGGGGTCTTCTTAACTGGAGCGCTTTAAATGCTGGTTTGAGCGCAAAAAAGGATTGTATTCAATATGAACTATCGTGAAATGCGCAACAATGAGTGTACCTGGGACTTCGGACCACTGTTCAGGAAAAGAGAACACGAAAAAAAAAGAATTGCTGATTCAGCAATTCAATTGCTAAAAACAGTGAGTGCAATGTTTCAACGCAGATTTTTTTACAACAAAAAAATGCTTCTTTAAACACATTGTAAACTAATTTAACCACGGGGGTAGTTAAAGTAGCATTTTTTTGTTGTAAAATCTGCGTTGAAACATTGCACTCACTGTTTTTAGCAATTGAATTGCTGAATCAGCAATTCTTTTTTTTCCGTGAACTGTAAGAAATTTTAAAGGAGGAATAGCTAAGAATATGTTCAGCTCGTCTGAATTTCTGGAAGCATACTTCCTCCTGAAGAAAAAGAAAAATAAAAAGTGTGGAAAGTAAGCGGTGACTTACTGTAGCTTATCATTGCCGTGGAAGTTGATGAAGATACCAGCGTAGACGGCGATGATGGAGAGGATGACGCAAGCGAGAGCCACGGACGCGAATTTGTTGACGAACTTGACCCCGACGAAGACGATGCTCCCCATGATGACCAGCAGGATGGAGCCGTAGACCCGGAAGTTGTTGTACATGATCTCCGGGTCCTTCGTGAAGTCACCGAATATCGACAAACTCGGCGCCATGTACGTCTGAAAATAAATTCGGAATCTCGTAAAGAAACAGAAATAACCAAGCCGAATCTACCAGCGGACCGATTATTGAAATTGATAGACAAAGAAGGCATAGGAAGATGGAGATATCATGGTTAAAATTGTTGGTTCTTGTAGACTAAAGGAGAAAATGATGGGTTAACTATTGGGTCCCACTCGGGTTGCCGTTACTTAGTCTATTACCCATCTCCTTTGTCCATTGCAACCACCCGCTTCCACCAATAGGATCCCTCCATATCTCTTTTGTCCTCTTTGTAGCTTTGTAGGTATATCAATTTTAATAATCGGCTCGCAGGCCAAGGAAAAACGTCGTATGAGCATTTAACCGTAACGGCCTACCTTTCATAAAACCCGCATTTACTGAGAAAATGTCGAGTATTTTTTTTTTTCAATTTGTTTAGATAATTTTTTTTTTTTTAAATTCGATCTGAAATACCTGAAAATTGCACGGAAAAAGATGTATAACTTTCCTCAAAAATGCATGTTTTATCCGGAGAAATTTGGCAACCCTCGAATGTTCGTACGGCGTTTTTCCTTAACACGGCAGAAATGTGTTGGCTCAAAGGAAAAACGTGACTTATTCCAAGTAGTGACTTGAATTTGCCGTCAGGGGAATTTTTGTTGAATCAGGCGTCAAATTTTAAAAAAAGGATAAATCGAAAGACAACCCAGCTGAAGATAAGACAGACACATTTTGAGCCTTCTTTTCTAACTGAACGTATGTGTGCTAAAAGGAGCTATGAGCATAGGGTTTGCATGCAACATAGCATAATACTTTCAGCATTAATACGTTCAACTTTTCTCCCGCATCTGAGCAAAACCTTATTCACAACACAGAGCGGAGCAGTGCGAGTTCACGCCTCGCGCCATCGCGCCTTCAATTTTGCAGACGCAACACGGACATCCACCGAGTTCGAATAGTCGTATCTCTGCGCCGTCATCAACACGCGTCCTTTCCCATGCTCAATGTCCGTGTTGTATTGGCTCCGTTTGTCTTATTTGTAGTGGTGCTTCGGTAACGCCTCAGGCGTTGTGCGTTACGCGTTATTCTCATGATTTTATATTATGGAGTAATATTTGCATACAATTACTTCAAACATAAATAAACCGCGTTAAGCAGAAAGGAGCCGAGCCAAATCAGCTATTGTCAAATTTAATTGGGCAATTTAATTTTTCAATTAAACGGCTGTGCGTATTTTTTTGCAAATTTTAGTGAATTGTCCGTATAGTATGAAGCAAATTCCTTAAAAATGTTCCAAAAAATGCGCACGTGCATTCTCTTGTAGAAAAATTAAATTGTTCGGTTAAATTTGGCAATAACTGATGTGGCTTGGTTCGTTTCTCCTAGACGCGGTCCATGTAGTCCAATTATCCGTGGAAATTGTAAGTTTCTCCATAACGCCAAGATCACACATAAATACAGGCAACCCTATTTCGCTTCGTTGCGCACACCTGAACAAGCATTCGAGTTCGAGAATGAGACGACATACGCAGCCTGGAACTTCCCCGAAGGGGTATCATTCCTGGGTAGCGAGTTGCGGTTGCAAGATTCTAGTAATGCAATCGTCTATTTCATACTGATACGGCTGAAAAAAGGAGAGATCCTTGCAACTTGGCAGGACTGAAAGCGATAACGTGGGTGACGCAAGTTGTAGACAATGTAAAATGGAAACTAAAGCGGAAACTTTAGAGGCTCGGTATGAAAGCTGGGAGGCGATAAATTGACGTGAAGTCTACGGAACCGAAATAGTCGTCATAACCTCGCCTTCGGAATTCGCTGACAAGCGGAAGGAGAGAATTCTATAGATAAGTTTGATAATTATATCTTCGCAGGTATCTTTAGAAGTGTGTAAGAAGTAAGTAATGTAACTAAACTTAGGTGCGAAGGACAACTCGGCTTAATTTCACCCAAATTTGGATCAGGTCTGAATAAATTCTACTGCACTGGAAAATGAAGAGTTATCATTTACAGCTCATCCCAAAAATCACTTTTTTGCGTAGGAATACTAATGGAATGTATGTTGTTCCAGAAATAGTGGTTTCTATCCGACGAATGCGGTTCAACTGGACGTATTTCTATCAAACGGAACTATGTGCATTAAGACATGAGCCCTGAGACCCATAAGAATACACGCATAGCAGGGCTCAAGTCATAATGCACATAGTTCCGTTTGATAGAAATACGTCCAATTGGCAAGTTGATAACGAGAAAGTAAGGACGGAAGTCTCCATTGCAATAATTCAAAATGTTCCCTCATTTCATTTTCTCGCAAAAATGGACCGTACAACATTTTCACATTAGATCCGTGCTGACAACATACTTCAAGATCTTGCTCATAAAAAAGTTGAAGAGAACCAGACAAGTTCGTGAGAGAGTTAAATCTTGAAAGCGAAAATAAAAAATACTTGAAAACAAAGACAAAGTTAGCATCGCGAAACTTGAGTAGAGTTTAATAAAATTCACTGCACGGCAAGGAATGTTGAAAACATAGAACACAAGCTCTTACGGTTGAAAGATAATGGTAGATGAACGTAGGATTTTTCTGGCCTACTTCGAAAAATGAAGGCAAAATTGAAATTTTCAATTTGCTTAACTTCCCTCGTGTCAATTCAGTTCTCTCTTTTTCAGTCAAAAAGCACCACCGCCAGGGGCCTTTTTGCTGTGCATGGTCAGAGGTATAAATTTTCTAGGCCAGCTAGAGCACGGCTTAGGACCTTTCGCGTCATGATCACTATCAAGTTCGGCGAAGAAGGGCTCGCACGTTGTGATGCTATTCGCATCCAGTTTAAACTACTCAACTTTGAAAGTGACGCTGTAATTACGAGGAGTAGCTCGTTAACAGCCTCTGGTTCCGCGAAACTTTGTTGCGACGAGCCCTCTGACGCATGGCGCACTTCGTGCATCGATGAACCTTGCAGTTTCAGAGAAGAGACATGCTTTCGAGTCCAGCTCAAACAGTGATGAGGGGAGGATTGTCCGGTTCAGCGGCGTGATATTTGAAATTCGCGGAATACTGCTGATTTAACCCATTTCAATCAATATAATCGCTCTGTTTTCCTGTCGTCTTTTTTTCTATCACTTTGTCTATCAACACGGAAATACATGATATTGCTGATTTAACAACCCCAAATTCAATCAATATGATTGCTCTGTTTTTCTGTCGTCTTCTTGGTCCATCACTTTGCCTAATAACACAGAAAAACTGATATTGCTGACTTGACAACCACCCATTTAAATAAATATGATCGCCCTGTTTTCCTGTCGTCTTCTTTTTCTGTCATTTTGTGTATGAACATAGAAAAAAAATGATATTGCTGATTTAACAATGTTGCAGTTAAAAAAAGTTTTCGACATGTTCAAATGTAGATTTTACGATAAAAAATGATAATTTAAACTGCTCCCGTGGTTGAATTAGCTTTCCATGATTGTAAAATGTACATTTAAAACATGTCGAACATATTTTAAATGTCGAACAGTTACAATTCAATTGTTATATCAGCAATACATTTTTTCCGTGTTTATATAGACCAAGTGGGTATATAAAGATGAAATGACGGTTTTTGGCGGATTTTTTTTTCCTACTTCAAGTAACCCACAAGGGCTCATCCTGCGCTTCAGTCCCGCCCCCCTCTGTCCCTAGGAACCAGTCCCAGGCAACCATTGTTGGAGACCATCAAACTCGGGTCTCCTGGCCGGGAATCGAACCCGGGACCTCCCGATCGTAGAGCTAGCGCTACAACCACTACACCATAGGATGCCAACGTGTTATGCAGTTTTGATCAAGAATGTTTATGATGATGATGATGATAATGATAAGAACTTACCAGGACGATCTCGACGGCACCGATTATGTACATGGCCGCGGCGAGGGTGGTGCCCGTGTAGAAGAGCATCCCCACAGCCCCTCCACACTCGGGGCCCAGGGATCGGCCGATCATGAAATACGAGCCCCCCGCCGGCACCACCCCGTTCGTCGCGATGGCACTCATTGAAATCGCCGTTAACATAGTCTGAAACCAAACAAACAAAACAACTGATGAGAACTTGTTCTAAATAAATACGGAAAAAATAGAGCGGAAATTAGTGCTCCCATTCCATTTCTGTCAGAAGTTCCGGGATTCCTTCTAAATTTTCAAATATTCCGGGAATATTCCGGAAAATTCAAAAGATCCGGAAATAGCCGACATCGGTTGGTCCAGTGGTTAGCGCAACTGATCACAGACCTAGATGTCCCGGGTTCGAATCCCGGCCTCGGTGGCAAGATTTGATGGTCTCAGATCTTGTCACCGTGGAGTGGCATGGATGTTTCTCTTCGTTTCTTCCTTTGTACTTCTGTTTCTACTGTTGTTGTAATCTTCCCATCATTTAGCGGTGGCTGTTTGTCTACACGACTAAGGCCAATGAACTATACCTAGAGTGCGCAAGCTCTCAAAAAAAAAAAAAAAAAAAAAAAAAAAAAAAAAAAAAAAAAAAAAAAAAAAGATCCGGAACATTTTGGGAATTATAAAAGTTCCAAGAAAAGTTCAGGAAAATCTCTAAAGTTCGAAGTTGAGAAAATTTTTAGCAAGGTAGAAAAATGGTGCTGGGCCCACACCACTTCGCGGGGAAACAAAGCCGAAAAATTCAAAAAATTAAAAATAGAGTCAAAATTAAATTTTTTGAACTCTAAAGCGCACCATGACGAAACTGAGAAAATTTTTAGTCAACGTGATTTCATTAATTTTTCTTCTCTGTAAACAGGGTATTCTGTATGAATTCCAAGTTGTAAAGTTGATTTTTTTCTCTTCGAAAATTTAAAGTAAGAGCGAAAATGTTGAAACAAATGTTATCACACTTTAGCCATCGATATCTTAGATTCCCGTTTCTGTGCTTTTTTTTGTTCGATTTGACTCGCGGGGCTATTCGGAATACTTCTCATCAAATCAGCAAAACAACACAGGACATGTGTCATTCAATAATAATTTTTCTAGTTTCACTAAGTTCTTCCAAATTTTTCTTGTGCAGTTTTATTGTTAGGCAAAATGTTTCTACGGATCTGGTTTCCCCTTGGAAATTTTAAAACCACCTAGTGCGACACACACAAAAAGACGGGGAAACAAGTTCAAAATTTAAAGCGCAGTCAAGTGTGGTGAAGTCGCCAAGAGCTGTAACTCAAACCATGCCCACATTAACCGTGTTATCTTATTTACTTTTCGAACTGAACTTTTCCCCTAACAATGTATGTCATCACCAGAGGAAAAATCCAATTCTCGAGCAGAGTGAAGGAGGAGGAGTAGCTGGGAGCTGAAATCCGAAGCTTTTCCGTTTTAATTCCGACTATGTTGTCCTCTTTGCTCCTTTGACCGCTTTTCCACGCAAAAATGTATATGATTAGCCCGGGAAAAGCGAGACCGAAAAAGCGAAACGAACCCGGTGACTCCCCAGGCGTGTCTTTTGAGCTACGCGCCCAGCCTGCGAGTTCTTTGTACAATTTATTCCTCATTCAAAACACAGAAACGAGTTCGCCCCAAGAATTTCCGTGTTGGAGTCAAAGAAAGTTCTTCAGACGACAGAGATTCTGTCCATTAATTTTACCGTGATTTTGGATGGGTGTGCTCCCGCGTAGCCAAGTTGGACCTTGTTCAACAGAAAGGAACCAAGCCACATCAGCTCGTCACCTTCAAGGCAAAGTATCACAAGCGCCATGCGACGTTTAAAAATTTCCGCCGCCATTATATTTTTTTACAGAGAAATTTTTCGACGAAGCTGTCCGAAAATTACACCAAATTTTCTTTGTGCTGCCGATAAAATTTAGTGAAATTTTCGAACAGATTCAACCAACAATTTCTCAGTAAAAAAATAAAATGGCGGCGAAAATTTTTAAACGTCGCATGGCGCTTGTGATACTTTGCCTGGAAGGTGACGAGCTATTGCCAAATTTAATTGGGCAATTTAATTTTTTAAATGAAAACGGTTGTTGCAAATTTCAGTGAAGTTCCTCCGCACTACGAAGCAAGTTCCTTATAATTTTGCAGGAATACGCACAAACGTTGTCTCGTAAAAAATGAAATTGCCCACTCGAATTTAGCAATAGCTGATGTGGGTTGGTTCCTTCCTGCTAACGCGATCCATTTCAAAGTTGCAAAATTGACCCAAACAATTCGATTTTTTACAAGCCTGTGCCACCTGTGCACCTGTGCAATTTTTTCCGAAACCTTTTTTTTATTTTGGCATGAGATTGGAAGGAAAATCGGCGAGATTTTCGATTAGAAATGCCCAATATTCTCCTCGTAAATACCCGATTTGCGAATGGAACTTCGGCAACATCGTGATGTGGTCACGTTCTTTCTCGAGGGAAATAAAGAAATTGATCAAAATCGGTGGAGGTGCGTAAGTTTACATTTTTTTTTTATTTTTTTTATTATTATTTTTTTTTTTTTTTTTTGCAGTTTTAACCATATGCAGTGTAATACCATATTCTCTGAGCAAACTTTGGGAGATTTACAAGTGGAAACCTTTCAAAATCAGTTCTGCCTCACATTCTCAAATTCGAAAATTTCAAGGTAATTTCATTTGTTTTTAAAAAAAATAATACTTATTGTAATTTTCAAAATTGCCGTTTGACTTTGAAAATAAAGTACTCACTTCTAATTATATTTGGATCACAAAAATAAAACACCAGTTGTGTTTGGAGGAAGATAAATTTCAGAGTTATATTAATAGGAGGCACTTTATATGTTTATAAAACATAGCCTTAACGGAAATCCGTCGTTCTAATGAAATGGTAACTTGACATGGGGATTTTATTTTGCAGTTAGAAACCATTGTTTATGTCTCAGCCGTAAAAGCACCAATGTGCATGAGGGAAACTTGCAGCGCATACGTTGTTTACAAAATAAACCAGAAATACTGGTTACTTATTGCAAAACGTAGTCAATTTGAGCCGGCCTGAGTCGTAGTAATTGAATTACAACGCTGCCTAATTTCCTTAACAATCATTCGTTCTTCACGTATAACTTTCTGTACTCACAGGAGGTTTGATATCTTGCCAAACATTCAATAAAATTCACGTTAAACTCTCGCAAATAAAGCCATAACCATTCTCCCGGGGACGAATGGAACACAAACGTTGTAAAGTAGACTTTATTTCACTGAATACATCCTTCATTAAAACAGACAAAACCGTAGAATTCCGTTCAGTTTGGCAATATTTTTATTTTAAAAGTGGGACGTAACGGTGGCGAGGCATGAATGGTCGCTTATCGATATTTTCTCCATTTGAAGCTATGGTAAAGAATCGATTAGTAAGGTGTTCGCTGCGAACACCCTGTCTATCGATCCTTTCCCATAGGTTTAAATGACAGTTCAATCGATACATCGCAAAGCACGCCACGTCACTGAGACGAAACGGCGGCGCCGAGAATGTTAGAGACCGTGGAGGAATCTTGAATTTGAGTGGTTGTTAGAGGAAAAAGAGAGCTGAAGCGTCCTTTGAGGCGCCTGATGTGGGTTCGCAAATCTTCGCGCAAACAACTTCGCATCCGAAAAGTCTTCGCGAAGATAGCTTTTCGCAGCGACGCAATTACGGAAAATAAAACGGACGAAAGAGTTCGAAATGGTTCACTGACCCTCGCTTTAATGAGCTTTTTTATAGTTGCGGTTTTTTCTTTTTTATGCTGATCGATATTTCAAACTAACGGACCACTTTTTGTCTTGACTAACATATCAACATATATATCTGCCGTGCTAAAGGAAACGCCGTATAAACCTCCAGGCGTCGAGAAATTTCCTTTTAATAAAATAAAAAGTCTCTGGTTAACTTGTGAATATTTTTTTTTCAATTTTCAGGTATTTTTTTCCGCAATTTCACCTTAAGTTCCTGAAAAATTCTAGAAAAAATATTGATGACTTTCTTGAAAATGTATCATTTTATCGAAGGAAATTTGGCAACACTCGAATGTTTATACGGCGATTTTCCTTAGCACGGCAGACAAAGGCTCTCTGCCAGTCCCTGCCTCATCAGATTTTTATTTTTTGCCATTGTTCATCTCAACAATCAACTGGGTCAATCTTCATGACTTTTGCGGGTATTGGTATAGTTAATAACTTCTGTGAGCCTGCTCTGGAAAAGAATCTTGATACTTTCAACTATATTCCTGACTGATTTTGGCGCCAGCCAACAGTACAGTTTTGCAGTGGCTAGAGGGATGGATGAGTTATCTTTTGGTTAAGTTATCCAGATCAAATTATTAGTAAAGTTGTCCGTTAAGTGTACAAACAAAAACAAATGGCATTACTTTTTCGGGAAATGCGTGAAATTTCCGAGAAACTTGGCAACGTGTAGATATAGTTCTACGCACACAAAGCGACATCGTATTAGACATCTTAAGTGAAAATTTCATGGAAGAAAAGGCAGTTTTAAATGAGAACCTACTTGTTACCGTGATAGTTCATAAGAATTTAACGCGTGAAGCGACGGGAAGTAAAAACGCCTTCAATCAATTGAATAGGCACGATGAGCTCCTAGGAGGTCGAATAGTGGTATCACATCCTACAGCACATGTCTTAAGGTTTCGTATTATAAACCGTGTAGTTTTCTACCGCCGCACCTTAAGGAAAACTTCATATGAGCCTTCCGACGATGCCATATTTTCTTCGATAAAAAATGAATTTCCTTAGAAAATGTTGAATACCTTTCTTCAAAATTTTGAATACTTTTCTTCAAAATTTTGAAACCTTTCCTTCAAAATGTTCTGACAATTTTGTTCGTAATATACTTTAAAGTATTTGCAATGCTCAAGGAAGAAAGTACAGGAGTTTCCTTTTGAGTGGAGGAAATTTGTAAACTCTTGAATTTTCATACGGCGTTCCTCCGTAGCTCGGCAGGTTGGGTGATATTTTTAGCAGTTAAAAAAAATATTTAACCTAAATTAATTGATTTTGATATTTTTCTCTACATTAACTAAACATCTGCCTGGTGCACAAATAGTACTTCAATAGTACAAAATGGAGTGCCGAAATCATGATTTTGAAGGCAATTGCCCATTAAATCTTCACTACGCCAATGTGCAGTACTGCGCTTTACCCCCAGAACACCTGAACCACTTGCAAATTGCCGGCGATTGCTAATTGCCTGCGACACATACTGCCGCGCTAAGGAATAACGTCGTATACACATTCGACGGTTGCCAAATTTCCTCTCAGGAAATCATCATTTTTGAAGCCAGTTATGGACAATTTTCCTTAAATTTTTCAGATACTTAGATCAAATTACGAATAAAATTCTCTGAAAAATTGAAAAATAAATATTCGAAAGTTTTCCCAGGAATTTGTGATTTATCAAAGGAAGTTGGGCAACATCTGTAAGCTCATACGACGTTTATCCTTATAGCACGGCAGCAAACAACGCCGAGTTAATTTGTGAAACCCATCCTGGACTCAACTATCCCGCTAGATTTCGCGCTCCTCTGCTCTCAGGCTGTGCACCAGTGGCGTGGCGTGAATTGCGATATATCGATTGTTATGCCATTCAAATCTATGGTAAAGAGTCGATTATTAACGTGTTTGCTGCGAACACTCTGTTTATCGATCCTTTTCCATAGGTTTAAATGACATAACAATCGATATATCGCAGTTCACGCCACGCCACTGCTGTGCACCCCTTTTGACCGGTCGCTTTTTTTTTACCAATTTAACCTGTTACGCCCCTTGTAATTAGAGTTTGAGGTCACCGAGCCAATTATGCATTCAAATGAAGCTGGAGTAGGTTGCCGGCGGTGTGAGGGGGAGCTAAACACGCTCTTCTCGATGATTCACCGCATTGTTTTGATAGGTAGTGCATTTGAATGGGTCGATGCTAAAACCCGACAGATCCATATCTCAATGAGCTCTGAGCCCCGTGACAAAGCTAACGTTTCAAGGCTCATCAAGAGTTGGGTTCGTGAGGTTTTGGCGTCCGTTGATTCATGTGCCCACACCTACCTCATATTCCCAAGCCGGGGCCATAAATTTCCGGTTTATCGGGCTAATGGCTGCCGCGATTCCACTAATGACCCGGGGTCCGCGCTGGCCGGGATGCAAAGCGCCTTTAATTGGGCCAAAAATGCTCCAATCTCGCGCCGAATTTTCCCGAGCGATTCGCGCGGGCTCCTGGAGGGTTCAAGACCTCGAGTGATGAATAATATCACGATTTGTTGTCGGAGGATTAACGGGAATGCATTCGGGGGATCTGTGGGTCCACCGTCCACGAGGGTCAAAAAACGGACTTTGTAGTTAGAAAAAACAAAAATCGGAATATTTGGTTTAACTCTCTCAAAACTTCTCTGGTTGGGGTCTCCAGATAATCTTGTAATAAAATAATTATAACATGTTCGCTAAGATACTGACATTATAGACTCTTCACTCGGGACCAAAGCTGGTGAAGCTCTGGACCCACTTCACGAACATTTTGTTACTATGACAAAGAAAGTTCGGGTGCCTTGTATCAGCACTAATTATTATTAATTCATTTTTTATTTTTTTATATTTTATTTACTGTTTCAGAATATTTCTTTTTTTTCCTCTCATGCTCTTCACCTCGACTAAAGTCAGAGAAAAACTAAAATTTAAGATACTGAACGAAGATAAACAAAATATAATTTGTGCGCAGAACCGATTGTATTAAGCTTAGAGAAATTTTTCCATTACCGTAAAACGTAAAGCTCGAAAACTTATCAAGAAAAAACTAGCACACAGAGAAAATTATTCGGTTTTAAAGGGTGCTGACATTTAGTAAGACTCGATCTGGCTCGATGGAGTTGGATTTGGAGGTCTCCAGTATGTTCACCGTGTTATTTGTGAAACATTGATGAGGAAGCATAATAAGAAGAAAATTATTCGGTTTTAAAGCGTGTTGAGATTAGTTAGACTAAATCTCGCTTGATTAAACTTTGATTCTTATTGAGAGCGGAAAGTTTGAATTGAACAGAAAAAGCCCTTCTTTTTCTTTCGAGTTGAATTTGGAGGTCTAAAACCCTTCTTTCTCCTCCGAGTTGAATTTGGAGGTCTTCAGTATGTTCACCGTGTCATCCATGAAGTTTTGATGAGGAAGCACACATTGCACCGCTTTTCTCACCTTGTCTATGGGTCCATTCCCAGAAATTTTACGAGTTCTGTTTTTCTTCTCCTCTCTATCTCCTTCAGCGCGCGGTTCCAGAGCTACAAGTTTAAAGCCGAAACCGGAAGAGGAACAAAACCCTGTTGGCACTCGGATGGGATGGACTTTTCAAAATTTCAAGACTAGAGCTCACGGAAAGTTCCGCAGCGCGAAGACGAGCGGATCCGAGAACTGCAAATAGCCGCCGGTAATGGACTCCCATCGCTCGAGTGGAATTGCGGGTAAGGAGCAAGAGTCGGAGGAACTTTCGATTCAATATTTAAAGGCGCTCAGGCTCGGCGATCCGAGCGCTATCTGGCTAATGGAACACCTGAGGATGATGGCTCAATCAACAACACAACGGCACGGGCTGAGCAGGAGCAGTTCCATCCGGGTTAATAGAATTATGGAGCAGGCATTCTTGCTGCCCCGTTAACAAGTGTGTTACGATATAAGAGCTTCAACTTCAATGAAGATGTTCTTTTGCCGCAAACATTGAATGGGAACCACGGGCTCGACGAGGTTTTTCTCGGATCTCGGCACCAACGTGTAGGTCTCAGGTTTTTTCTTCGATACTTTTTAATGTTTAGTTTATTTTCCGATTAAAAATGACTCAGTTTTGAGTCGAAACATCTCGGGTTGTTAATTGTTGTATTTTAGCTTTCCTCATTTTTCCCCTTGTTTTTCTCCTGATACCATTGTCTCAGGCTGTTTCGTAAAAATTTGAATCTATAACTCAACGATAAGAGACCCTCGCGCTAAAATTACTAGGAGAGCTTTAAAGGAACAAATCGTAATCTACCGGAGAAGAAAAGTTCGTGCGTGGAATCCAAATTTCAGGTCATGAGGTTTTTGGCTCGTGCATCAAAAAACTTGAAACCCAACTGCCGAAATTCGGGTTACAAATCCAGAGTGGTTCGGTTCAAACTTCTATGAAGTTAACCAAAGTTACAAAGTACTTCGCACTTCGACAGCAGGACCATAAGTTTTTGAATGCACAATCCCGAGTAAAGCACGAGTAAAGTCCCGAAAAACTTCGAAGATCCACATGACCTGAACTTTGGGTCCCACACAAGAGGTTTTTTCCCCTCTGTGTAATACCTCGTAATGTAACATTATTTTTACATAGTAGCACGCACTTTAATTGAGGAGCTTCGAAATTGCCTCCTCTTTTGAATTTTTCAAAGGTAATATTCCCAGAAATTTTGAAATATACAGACTGATTTAGTGACTATGTCATTCGGTATAATATCGAACCCTTGGTTCAAATGTAAACAAACACAAAACCTTGCATCCGATTCGTGCCCTTTGCGCCATAGTTCTAAAATGCGTCCAAGTGTTTCTTACAATCGAAATGTGTTTAGTTCAATGAGTCTTTAATTAATTCATAACCGGTCAATGACTGAATTTTAATAAATTAACACAGGTAACTCATGAAGAATTCGTACATGAGCTTATTTTGGTTTGAACCAAGATTTCAATATCATATCGAATGAAGTAGTCACTAAAAACAAAGCACAAAAAAGCAGTAGTCACTAAATCAGTCTATTGCAAAATGATGGGCTTGGAGGACAAGGCGCTTGAGTTCATTTTTTGAAAAAATTTAGATATTAATGATTTCAAGTAAAACTAGTCAATTAATGCATATTCTGAAAAAAAATTCGCTCCCAAATTTCAATTTTTAAGAATCAAAAAGTCAGTTTGAACTTCCTTTCCGCCACAAGGATCCATGAAATTTCGAAACTTCAAACACGTATTTCTCGAAGTAGTCAATACAGCACTTATGCGCCTTGTCCTCCAAGCCGTTCATAGGTAGTCCAATTGGACTACATTTTGCAATTTGGAACTATAAATTATAGCCCGAATAAAAAAAACGTATGTGCCATAAGTCTCCTTATAAGTGTTTTTCCAGAAGAGCCAGAATTTATAGTTCCAAATTGCAAAATGCAGTCCAATTAAAAAGCGAAAAGAAGAATGTGAACTTACCACAGAGCAGCACAAAAGAACAATTAAAAATCCATAGATGGCGCCGGCAGTGCCGACGACCCAGGTAAGACGTATAAACAAGATTACACCGAAAATATTTTGAACACAAGGTAAGTAGACGCCGACGAGGGTGCCCATGCGGGCGCCTCCGGCTTGGGGCTTTGCATCCGGGTCCGCCGGAGCTTGAGCTATCGTATTCGTGTAATTGGCTAGTGAACTGATAAGTGTCGATATCCGCGGACGATCCTCCATCTCTTCCTGCAACACACCAAAAAACAACCAATATTTTCCAACAGTCAATTAATCCGGGTTCAAGTTGAATTGAATCAGTGAGAACGAAAACACACCAACTCAAAAAAATGAAAATAATCAAGACACACACAAAACTGCACAGAAGGTAAGGAAGTTAGTCGAAAAAAAAACAGATTTTTGGTGCACCGAGAAAAAAGTGAAATTGAACACAAAACTGCACAGAAGGTAAGGAAGTTAGTCGAAAAAAAAAGATTTTTGGTGCACCGAAAAAAAGTGAAGTTGATTTAACATTCTGGATCAGCAGTGGCGTGGCGTGAATAATCAATTTTCGATATCTCGCCATTTGAGGCTATGGTAAAGAATCGATTACTAGGGTGTTCGCTGCGAACACCCTGATAATCGATCTTTTTTCAAAGGTTAAAATGGCATAACAATCGATTTATCGCAATTCACGCCACGCCACTGAGTCTGGATGTAAAAAAAAGTGTGCGAGAACTCACAAAATGCTAAATTACCCGCTACGGCAATCAGGTTTACATCTTGACATTGCTAAAGTAACCTCTGTATCAGTTAATTCAGCATTTTCTAAGTTCTCGCACACTTTTTTTACATCCAGAGTTTTGAATCAACTTCACTTTTTTCTCAGTGTGCCTAAAGACAAGTGCTCAAAGACACTTTAAAGGTCTAAGTTAGAACAGATGCGCTAACTTCAATGACTTTTATGAAACTGACTGGTCTTCAATGAAAATTGAGCATTTTCGAGTTACGGAGTTTGTGCGTTTTCGCTCTTACTGATTCAATTCTGGTTCAAGTTAAACATTAAAACAGGTTCAAGTTTAATCACATTTCAAAATTCCTTGACTTTTCCTGTAATCAGAGTGCCTACTATAGCAGGCTGGCCAAAAATCGATACGTTTACAGTACTTTTTCTGTACATTGCAAAGAAATTCAGTACATCCTCAACAGAGAAGTTCAGTACTTTTTCAGTGCCTCCATTCGACGAAATTCGACAAATTTCGAAAATTTGAAATTCTTGCTCGAATACCTTGCGATAAAAATGACGGAGCCACAAAATTTCATTTAACATGCAACCTGCAGCAGTAAATTCAGAATTTGAAATGAAACTCTGAAGTTCGTCAAAGGATAATTTTGTTGAGTTATAACTCAAAATTGTGTTTTTCACTACTTCGAGGCATTTGGGGCTATNTCTTAAACTTTTTCTGTACATTGCAAAGAAATTCAGTACATCCTCAACAGAGAAGTTCAGTACTTTTTCGGTGCCTCCATTCGACGAAATTCGACAAATTTCGAAAATTTGAAATTCTTGCTCGAATACCTTGCGATAAAAATGACGGAGCCACAAAATTTCATTTAACATGCAACCTGCAGCAGTAAATTCAGAATTTGAAATGAAACTCTGAAGTTCGTCAAAGGATAATTTTGTTGAGTTATAACTCAAAATTGTGTTTTTCACTACTTCGAGGCATTTGGGGCTATGAAAATTCTCTCGAAATTGTATTACATACAATGTCATGAAATGTTGCATCTCTGGCTGGTCCGACAGCGTCCGTTCTTTGTTTCAGTTTGTTCAAAACTTTCCCGCCTATGTTAATAAGTAACTCGGAATGTGACTTTCGTACTTGAAACTTTAAATTAATACAGACTAACAAGCTTTTCAAACGTATGTAAACTCGGCACGAGGATGAAAACAACTAAAAATGAAAACCGTCCCCGAGGTTACGAGCAGGGGTCCCATGTTCAAAGCTCGCAACTGCAGAGTATTTAAAGTGCATCAACATTTCCACCCGGGGGACCATACGATAAACACGAGGCTCCCGACCATTATTGGACAAGTCGCGGCCCGGACAAACCGCACCNGGGGGGGGGGGGGGGGGCGAAGGGCTTTTAGTGGGCCGCGCGCGCAGGCGAATAAATGGCCTCCGGGGACGGGGCTGCTCGGGACAACTCTGATTAGCAAACATCATTCATTCGCTGTTTATCCCGGCGGAGGGACAAACAAACCTAACCTCGCCAACTTCTCACCCCCGCGTCCTGCCCTCCCTTCCGCAGCCTCCCCCCCTCCTCCCCCGCCACTCCCGAGCGGCTGCGTTTTAGTGGGACGTCTTCATAAAGCCCGCAAATGTTAGGATTTACCGGGTCAAAGTTTTGAAATCAATCATAAACTTCGAAAAAGCCCCGTTGCGAACTTGTCGCGGAATTTGCGAAAGTCTTCGGCAACCCGATTTCCACTGGATGAAGGAAATTTTTTTGCAGGTTAAAAATTTCGCCGAACTGATAAAAATATTTGTGTTCTTGGGTTTCTCTCCAAAACTTGACCAAAAAATTATTTCTGATTTAATCAGTATAATAAAATTTTAAAAAAAAAATTAAAATTGAATCAGACTTACCGAGTAGAGATAGAGATTTGTGTCGTATCCGGACATCTTCTCTTTCTCACTAACGAAGGGGTGATCGTCGGCGCCATCACCTGAAACACAGATGAAAAAATTCTATTAGAACAAAATCGAGGAAGATGAGGAACAAGGAAAATTAAAAGACACCATAGTAAATAAGCATTTTTTTACCTTAAATTTGATATATGCTGGATTCTTGCTTGTTTAAAATAGCTTTAGAATGATCGCATACTACAGAAATATTGAAAGAGTGTTTTTTCATAGAAGGAAATTTGAAACTTAAAACATTGGGTTACACGCTTTTTTTTCGTAATGAAACGTTTTAAACAAATTTTATTTAAATATATCGCAACCACTACAAGAACCACACGTCTTTTATCTATCCACATGTATTACATTAACAAAGGTATTCAGAGACAAAGTAACATTAGATGATAAGGATTGTCTGGAAGACCTGGAAATTTGAAACTCTGCGTCTTTTATTCTGAGAGAATTGATTGTGTTAAACTGGTTGCATTATGTGCACATTTTAAAGATTGCACTATAAATTGAATTGAGTTTCGATCAGTGAATGAAATGAAAGTATCGTGAGAGGCATGGTAACAACGCAACTCTGTTACTGAACTAGGTTTGTTTGGGGGATACAACTATTCGTGCTTCGGTGCGCTATTTTGCCTAATCACTCAATTGAAGGCGCAACGACCGCGCACAGCAAACGCGCGCTCAAGAGTGTTCTTTTGCTGTGTTAAAGGAACGCATTCCGATTTTTTACGTGAGATTACATTTTCCTCTTCGCGATTAAAACCGAAAAACATATTAGATAGTCCAAGTTCATCTCTTCTCACAGAAATTAGACAGCTGTATCGTTTACTCGTCTAGTACATCCATTATTGTCGATTTTGCAATCAGGAACAACGATTTCCGGCTCAGTTTCAAAAAAAAAAAAAAACGTATGTACCATTTGTTTCCCTATGAACTCAAGTGTTTTAATGGATGAGCCAGAAATTGCAGTTCCTGGTTGCAAAATGAAGCCCATATCAGCCTCAATTTTCTACTTATTTTTTAATAAATTACAATTTACCAAAATATGGAAGGAAATTGAGAATTACTACAGAAAATATTTATCAATTAATCAATAAAATTTGAATTATTATTCCTACTATCTATTAAATGAGACTTGAAATCTAAGACATGCATGCTGCGTAAATGATAAAGGAAGGTTCTAAGATCCACTCGCCGTTTTGGGATAATGTAGGATATTTTCTCTGTCCGGACATTAGCTGTTATTCGGTTTTTTAGCTCATGATACTGTCTATCTTTCTAAGGTATTTTTTACTGATTTGGTCTGCTTTACTGCAAAGGGCTCTCATTCAATTGACAATGCCTCATAAGCCAGACCTCACGGACCTCTGTCAATCCAAAAACTGTGGAAACCATACGGGAATACCTAACTTCACTCGGCTTCGGTATAATCCGACCGAAAACGGATGATGAAATGAAATTTTCTTCGTGTCACTTCTGTGATCAACATACAGTTGCGAGATAACATCTCTCGCGTTCGGGCGCATACCTTTCAGACTTGACGAAAAAGGATCGCACTTTCCATCTTCCGGAGGAAAAATTGAATGAAAGCCAAGTACAGGATTCTTGCCGTTGCCAGATCGACGCAAAATAAAATGATCTCCAAAGAATCAAGGACTCTGTAAAAAGGGTCGCTTTGTGCACACTTATTGGCATCAACCCAATTCACCCTATGATTGTAAACTTCGCTGCAAGATTGTCGGATTTACGGATAGGACATTGATTTAAGTTACGCCCTGTAAGCATTAACCACAATACTGGTTGAACACTACGCAACATCGAATATGTTTACAGTTCAGAAGTTCAGACTCCCCGATCCTCCGTATGTGGGTCAAGCGGTAGAGATATTTTAATTTCAATGTTTCTTTGTCCTCTTCAAGCTGTTAAACATGGTCGCTGATCAAGGTGTGTTCATTACGAAAATCTGACCCCTTGATAGTACACCCCTTCAGACTTGCAGGTTTTTCTTTTCTTTTATTTTTTTTTTTATCACTTGTACCTTCCGAAGAGAATTCAATACTTCCTCCTTCACGCCATAACGGACCATGTAATGTCCGTAATGAGGAAAAACCGAAAAAATTCTAATGTTTTCATAAAAATACTGTAATAGACATCAATTATACCAACTCTATGTTATCTTAAACTCATTCATGCACTTGGAATGTCATTAATATCACTATTTGATGAGAAAATTGAGTTTCGAACAGGGCCGGATTAAGGGGGTGGCAATATGGGCCGCGGCCCATGGCGGCAAAATTTAGGGGGCAGCAAATTTTGCAATCTTTTTGAATGTAGGTATCAAAAAATGAGAGAAAACAATCGGATTCAGAAAATAATTACAAACGAGAAAAGGCGACGCGACTGCACGAATACTTCACGCATTGCGTAAAACACACTGCGGTCAGCAGAAGTCGGCTTGAAACGCATGGCGCTTACAAGACTACATGAATACTTCACGCATTGCGCAAAACAGTGTGGTCAGCAGCGGTCGGCGTGAAACGCATAGCGCCTACAAGACTGCATGAATACCTCACGCATCGCCCCAACACAGTGCGGTCGGCGCGGCTGTGGAAGTTAAAATTTTTAACCACATTTATGTTCGTTCTTTCATAATCTTTTTGTTCTTTTTTATAAATGGAAGGCCTTGTCCAAACAGGGATGGGTTTACGGAACTGAACTTTTGTTAGTGTTGACAGAGCTTTTACAAAAAATGTGCTCAACACGAGTAAATGCGTCTTATACACCCCTACCCCACCGGCACGTTCACTTGATGATTTTTATAGATCGTATTCGACAGATCACACAGATGAGATTTTATTGATATCGATTGGTTCAACATGTAACAAAAGCCTCAAAAGTCAATTCAGAAGTCTGAGGTAACGGGTCTTATGTGATCAAATTTTTATTCTCTCGAGTACCAAATGGCAATGAAAAGTGAAATTGTTAGGAATTTTCTCATTTTCAGCTTTTCCAAATTACATCCTAAAATTTTTGTTTGAGGTTATGTTCTATTGTTTTGAACCAAAAGATACATCGAACCTCTGTCTAATCCGATCTATTGAAGTTTCAAAACAAATGAGAAGGGGGCGGAAAAATACAGGCGGCCCATGGGCGGCATGTAGGTAAATGCGGCCCTGGTTTCGAAATAGTTTCTCATGGAGTCCATGTCCAAAATGTATAGTGCCTCTGTAATGAGTGCTGTATTTCTCAGAGTACTTCTTTCTGAGTTTCACTTTATTTAATGAAACTTTGAGGAGATCCTTTTCGCGGCAGCTGCGGTTTTTTTTAAAATTTTTCACTCCAAATAACTAACCTTTCATAACACTTCAAAGTGCCAGAATTCAATGTCCGCAAAGAAAAAAAATCCACTTTGAGCCAAAAAAAGTGCACGGAAAAACATTAAATGTCGCTTTAGCATTTATATTCTTAAAAAAAAATGTCCAAAAAGTTTCAAATGCTGATTTTTCGTTTAAAAAAAGTGCAAACTCAACTACGCCCACAGTAAAACGAATGAATTTAAATGTTAGGTTAGCATTTAATGTATCGTAAAATCAGTATTTGAAACTCGACGGACTTTTTTTCAACAATTTAAATGCTAAATCAAAATGTAGTTTTTTTCTGTGTAGTTCCCCCTGTAGTTCCTTTTGTATAAGGCTGTCAAATTTTCTTCGCTCTGGCAACAGAGCCGTGGCATTTACAGCCGAGTTTAGCGCGCGCCCCTGGCGTTTATTTGCTCGAAGCCCCGACTGCGACGCACAGTGGATCGAGTCAATAGGATAGGTCAAACTAAAATTGGAAACTTTAAACGCTTATAACTTCGTTTATGCACGACACAACTTTAAGGTTCTAAAAGTGGTTGTATGGTTTCCTCGTAAAATTTTCTACTAGAAGCACTATCTAAAACTTAATATGTGACGGAATAAACTTCAAAATTTGCAGTTTCAGTCGAAAATTTCATGTCGGACCTCTCTGGGTGATTCGATCCATTGTGCGACGCTGGCGCTGACTTGCGGGTGAAATGGTGGATATGAGCTCTCGCGCGATGTGAAAATTGCGAATGGAGCGTGGATTCTGACGCACACCGCGGGGATTGGATCATCCTTGCATCTCGTCGTCGTCCTCGGCTCCCGTGTCACGGAAAAGAGCCGTATGTGCATTCCTACATGAGCCATGCTTAACACGTGCTCATGTGTGTCCCGAGGCTCATCATGGACTCCACTTATGGCTCTCTTCCGGAACACGGCAGTCGGGTCGTTCCTATTCCGCACGCTTGCAACACGTCATGCGAACAAAGGTTCTGCAGGCGTCTTACATGCGAAAACACCGCTTTCAACGGAATAGTGATGACGCGGGTGCTCCCGCTCAACGGAGCAGAGAGAGGGGGTGAATCACCTACTTGATTACCATATTTTTGGGGGAACATATTTTAGACAATGGGCCATCGGAAAATGTCTAGACCAGAAAAAGACGTCATATGTTTTCTCTTTAAAATCTCTCTAATTTTGATTCAGTTCGAAATGCACGGGAAAAATGTATTATACTGCTGATTGAATAATTAAATTTTTTACAAGATATGACCGACATGTTTTAAATGTACATTTTAAAACATTAGAAAGCTGATTTCACCGCGAAGTGGTTAAATTAGCATTTTTTTATTGTAAAATCTACATTGAAAAACGTCAGACACTTTTTTTAATTACAAAATTGTTAAATCAGCAATGTCATTTTTTCCGTGTGGGTCACTAAACTTAGTATTTTTTTTTCTTTCCGTATTTTGTGAAACCAGGTGAATAGGGGCCGTGATGATTTAATTGATTCGTTTATAGCCTACTACGACAGTCAAATCACTGTCTCTTCTCACTTCTCTTTGATGTTTGTCAAAATAAAACGCATTTCAATGTGCAATTCTTGCTTCTTGTTAACTATATACAGATAACGTGAATGAGATTCGATTCTTTGATTTTGAAGTTTTAGTTTCGACTCTTCTATTGTT